CTTCTAAATTTTAACGCGTCTTAGGGCCGTAGTGCGGTAGTGACACTTTTCCGGACATGGGTCCCTATACTCAAATGTTTTCTACTGTTGCACTGAATAACCCCTAGAAGTTTGATCCCATAGTTCTGAAACACCCTGTATATATATATGCGATAAAAAAAATTGTTACTTTGCTCTGCAATTATTTTTTACGTTTTATACATACGCGCGATCACATATCACGTATACACTTCAAATTAACTGACGCGCAAAGAGTGTAGAGAGTGTTAAAGATTAAAATAATTGCATTAGAACACGAATGTGTGTCAGGTATATTTTTTAAAGGTCTTCCTCGTCTTGGATGTTACTTCTTGTGTGCGTCCTTTACGAGAGATCATTTCAGGTTTTTTTTTCACAGAGCAATGAACTAGGAAAAGCATTTTGTTCTTTTTTTCTCAAGAGCGAACTCCATTGAGATGAGAACGCGTTTTTTAGAAAATATAGTAGAAAGAGCAGGAAATTGCGACCCACACACACACACACCGCCTCGGCGCATACGCCACGTGTTACGTTATGGAATTCACGTCTTGTACCGCGTTTCATCCCGTCTGTATTAGGGTACGCCTTGGTGTATGTTACGTTTCATATATTGTGTCACATCGCGCGCATTATGATGTCGTGTCGTCAACGGCAATACGCATGCATGAATAATACGCTCGGACGGGAACGCTCTTCGATCTTGTCTCTTTCACCGATCAATAGATCTATTTTGCGATACTCTCGATGACGTGTCGCTGAAAACAAAAGAGAAAAAAAAAAACAATGAATCGCGTAGACCTGTAGACGCGGGAGAAGAGACACTAATTGTTACCTTTGCCAGGCGATATTTGATTAGTAGCTGTATTCTAAAATTCAGGATGCGTTAATGAATGTGCATTGCGAGAGAGAGAGAGAGAGAGAGAGAGAAAGAGAGAGAGAATAGTCAGTCAGGTTGTCAAGGGTAAAAATACTGCAATACGACACGGCGTGACGGAGCAACACGCCGATATGGTCGAGGACAAAACAATCGCAATGGTCTTATTCCTTCATTTCTATTCATCGTGAAAGCAAGATCGGAGAACCAAACCACGGCAACATGCGATCGAACAAACAACATCGGGCTCTTCATTCTTTTTGCGATATTGATTATTCGCGATATTCCGCGACACACATATTTCCTGTTTTTTTTTTTTTTTTTTTTTACATTACAGACGTTTAATTAGTCTTGACTTTTTTTTTCACTTGATCTCACTTTCTAGTGCTCAAATACAAGTATACGATTTTTCCATGTGTATGTTGTATAGACATAAATTGTATATTATGCGATCCGAATTTCGCGCATAGCTTTTTAATTAAAGGCCTGAAACAAACGCGTAGGGAACCGAACAGTAGAGAACAAAATTATTAGATTTACAACATTTATTATTTATTAGATTTACTACAATTATTAGATTTACTACAGCTCGTGTATCTAACTGTTAATACATGTTTCTCACAAAGAAAAAGCTAGCTAGTTACTCTTGTTTTTCTTGTAACGGAAGTTTGATTTCGCCGAAACCAAGGACAACGACTCACTCAGTTGCTGCATTATCGATTTTTCCATCAGCTTCTTCCTTTTTCTTGTTGTCAGTCGTCATTATGTTTGTTCTAGTTGCAGACTTTCTTTTCTCTCTTTTCAAAAACTGTATTAATTTATGTCTATTTTAATGGAATATTATCTCATGTCTTTCGCAAGTGATAGTGTTACGTACAATTTTCTTAAAAATAAAAAGTCTTCAGTCGGTTTCGTCATTAAGAGACACGCAATCGTGTTTCATATGTTTCAAGTTTATATGCGCATAATCAAGTTCATGCGCAACAGAGTTTTTAATAACCATAAAAGATTACAAAAATAGTAAGAACACTTATTATCAGAAATAACAAACTTTTTTTTTTACTGGTATTTTAATTTTGACACTTAATACAAAAACAAATTTGAAAAGATGTGCCAACACAGCCATTTTGTGACAAATTATTCAAACTTGATACATTCAGTCAGTTTGAATAAGTAGTTTATTTAACAACTTTTCGTTTTACACTTATACCACATTTCAATATAGCTTTGCAGTAGCGATCTCATTTACTTCACGGATATTGTTTTTGCTGTATAAAAAACACAATTAAATAGCTTGTATTTTACAATCGATTAAGAATAATGCAAAGCTACGTTAAAATGTACAATTTACATTTACAATTTACTTATAATTTAAATTTTAAATCAAGAGAGAAATGACTAAAACTTATCTAATTTTCTATATGTATATTATATATGTGTGCGTGTGTGTATTTACATGTATTGTTCGCTCACTCACTTTCTCTTTCTCTCTGACTCATTCACTTACTTACTCAGAGGTATTTATATTATTTATTATATTATTTTGGCAATGTGTTTGGTTCGCGATTTTCATCATTAACACTTTCATTGTCCTCATCATATTTGGTGGATAACAATATTTCCTGCCAGAGTTTGTTGATTATGTTGGTATTAGCCTTTTGAGTTTTAAAGTTAAAATGCTTGATATAGTTGTCTCCGTTTGTAATATCTGTCATGTGTATACACATTAAGGACTATATGCCAAATGCTCATTTCTCTAAAAAGATTTTCTATTTTCTAATAAAAGTTTAAATGCGCATAATGTTATTTTTTGTGCCAAAAATAACATGCTGCCTTTAAACTACGTTGCATAAAACCAAAAGAAAAGGATACAACCTACGATGCTACGCTGCTCTATCATAGCTTCAAAATCCCAATGAATCCGTGTTAAGGTTTTATAATAATTAAATTTACTTCTACAAAATACAAAACAATATGCGAAAATAAAATATGGAGAAATTCATTATATATAAATATTACTAAAAAGAACAGTAAACTCTGTACACACCTTCCTTGGTCTAGCAATTTTTGATCTTGTAAGTTTGGTTTATTAGATTTCAAATTGTTTAGTTTTTCCTGCATTTGTTTCTTCTCGTTTACTGCTGACGTATGTATATCCATTGCCATGTCCTATTAAAAATATATTTTTAGTAATATATTTCAGATAGAAAAAGGAGAAGTGGATGGAATTTATTGCTGTTTTCCACAATGTTTTCCTTACAAGATAATTTTTAAACTCCAAGTATTCTTCATTTTTCTTCTCGAGAGATTTAGTTGCTTCTTCGAGTGCATTTTTTCGAAGGAGACATGATATCATTAACTGCTTCATTGTATTCTCATCCTCTGAAAAAATTCATAAAAAAGTTTTACTTCATTTTGTAACTTACTCCACTATCAAACTACGTTTGTTTACATGTTTACTTTCTGTTTTTCTTTATGCTCGACAACTACAGCACATATTTGCAAAGTACAGTCCGTATTTTTCTAAAATATAAAGTTTTTACCATGAAGTTTTTGTTCTTGAATTTTTCGAATCTCATTGGTGAATTGCATCTGCGATTCCATTAAATTTTTGATCTCCGATGATTTGGTTTTCACATGTTCACATCTCAGTTTTTGAATTTCCTCCATTCTTGCAAGTTGCACGGTAAAATTCAAATTGCAACACAATCGACGATCTTTCAAAAGCCGCTATTTAATAACGGAAAACTCCAGGTGATTACAAAGACCTCACGCGATTAAAAGAAGCAACACTGGACCAGAGCGAAGCCTGAGAGCGGCCAGGCCCAAGAGAATGTGTAAAGGTTGTTCTACAATGCAGTCGTAAGAAATTGATCAATCACAGACAAGCCACAGAAGAATAATCGATTGTGATTGGTCATATATCATATTTGTCACTAGGATATTTAATCCACAGAATAGGTTAGGTTAGGTTTCGATTTGTTGAATATTGAACCAATCAGAATAAAAACAACCAATCTCAAGTTTAGTAAACTTGGCTCTGATTAGTCGAGCTTTAATGGCGGTTCGGGTTTTGGCGTAAGCAATATCCGACAATGTGACTTAATTGTTGTATCATGCACCCGAACAATATAAATCAATGAATTGACTTTTTCCTTTATCAAATTTTTCTTACACCAATTAGATATTTTTCGATTTTATTAGTCCGTCATATTTTGACAGGTAATTTTCTCTTCGCACACACGAATTTAAATATTTCAAGCGGTCTTTCTAAGAAAATTTATGCTATTTCGTGTTTTTTCACCTGTTCATGTAATATAAAATAACAACATTGCTACGAGGAATGAATTAACAGAAATATCGAATCGCTTACGGACTGGTTTTAGCGGTCGGTCGAAAGGTCGGTAATTATCGCATCAAAAATTAATTGCACTGTCAAGCCGGTCAGAAGTCCACGTATGTCCATGCCTACGACCACGTATGCGTTATTCCTTATCACCATGTTCGCTAACATTTGAGTCATAACCTTTTGTCACTCCCTACGCGGATAGCACGTAGTACGGTCCCTTGTAGTTAGCTCGTACCTCCAAACGCTTCGTTCTATCAATTTTTTTAATATGTCACTGGACGAAGTAAGAATCAAAATTTAAATCAATTTAAATAACTTGACGTGTTTTGTAAGTGAAGTACGTGTGGTTTTAAGGTTTAAACATAGTGTACATTACTAGAGTGAATGGAATAATTCAACTAGTGAAATTAGTGACATTCGCGCCAATCACGTTTTTTCCAATGATTTTCTCATTGGAGAGCATGTTGATTAATGACGATCTCATGATTTTTGAAACTAAATTGTTTATTGTATAAACATTGTGCTAAAATTATCACTTGAACAATCTATGAATATGATAAGCACATATTTCTCTTTTGTTTTTATCTAATAAAGTTTAGTTTATATTAAAAAATTGTTGTTTTAGAGATTTAACAAGGCAGCTACAACTGTGAAGGAATTGGCTGCACAACCATCAGACGAGGACTTGCTTGAACTGTACGCTTTGTACAAACAAGCCACTGTTGGCGACTGCAACACAGGTAATTTATAAAAGGTCTTGTGTAAATTCGCACTTCTACTTCATTTTAATTGTTTTCTTTTATTCTTTTAAATTTTCAGAACGACCGGGAATGCTCGACTTCAAAGGCAAAGCGAAATGGGACGCTTGGAACGGTAAAAAAGGAATGTCACAAGATACCGCGAAAGAGCAATATATCGCTAAAGCAGAGGCATTAATTGCCTCAATTGGAACGAAGTAGTTCGTTCATTATTACGCTTATATGTGCACTTTTAAGTAATTTAAGTGTGTAATATCTCTTTCAGTTATTTAGAAATTTCTTAGTACAACGCTTGGATTCTAAAAAAAAAAAACATGCTCAAACGTCATGGTCTTATTACTGTAGATATGTACAAGCTACGTTTTGTATAATTTTGTCATTTGTTTACAAACTTCTTGTATTCACACTTGCGCTCGCGCGCGTTTAATACTGTTCACATAAAATTGCTTCTCGCATTAATGACATTGTCAAATTGATTTTCCATCTTTGAAGAATGTTGGGGAAAAGGGACGTCAGTTTTACTAGCTTCACATTGACACTCCAAGGAAATTAGTGTATATTAATAATGTATTTTTCTATAACATTGTTTCCTTATCATTTATATACACATATGTAAATTAACTAATGAAACGAAAGAAACGTACACGATTGAAGACGGTTCTTCTAACACAGTTTCAGTGGTGCACTTCAGCGTACATTCAGCTAGAACTTAAACTGGTATATATAAATAACGCTAGCCAACGATAATAAAAATATATACGCAAGAAAATAAATTACACTATTACCAACCGATACGAGAGATATGCATAAGGCAATTTTTTGCTTGTTTTTTTTTATTATTATTATTTCGAAAAAAATTCGTAAGTTTGTGTCAGTTCTGTAACCTAGCGATACATTTAATCGAGGTTTGAGTTATAATGAAGAAACGGCATCGGTTATAATTCTATAACTAAAAGACGAGGCAGATGTTACTTGCAAGTTTTTTTTTCTCTCGGCGTATAAGCGCGACACGCTATCGTTTCTGTTTCAAATTCGAACTAAATTCGAGAACGACTTGGTTTTATGTTTTTGTTTTTACAAAACTAAATGATTCAACAATAACATAGATAGCGCACCATTCGTTTTCGTTTAAACCGAAGGCTCTCTGAATGTTTCTTCGAATGAAATTTTTTTATTACAAAGTTTTCGTGCTTTTCCGCATGTGAGATGTGCTCAATAAATGGATCAAGCTAACTTGATTGATAGTTGATTCGGATAGAGTGTGTGTCCTCTCCCTCTCGATAAATTTATGAATGTATTAAGATTTGTTTTCCAGACTTTAATGATAAATGAATTAGAGCTGAGACAATGAACAGGTAATAGTAGTAGATAGATAATGTAGAGTAGGTGGTTATAAAATGAAAAATTTATATCCTCATCGAATCTCTGTCAAATGTAGCACAATAATGTTGTTGCGTGGACTTGGATACATAAGGAACTTGACAAGAGCGATTTATTTCTTCTTACTTCTATCGTGCTTCTTACTCGTGAGCGGATGATGACGCATCTTTACCCTGCTAGCTTTTAGATAGTCACTGCTGGTCGCGTTCGCGCTGTGGCTATCCACCGTATTATCGCTGACATTCGCACAGACCTGACCACTCGTCGATGCACTGTCGAACCTAACACACACACAAACAAACGAGAGATGACGGCAGGATCGGATGTTCGTGATGAACAAAATTGAAAACATTCGCTCTTGTTTTTTAATATAAAATTCCATGCTCCGATCACTCGGGCTTAGAGAGCCTATCATCGATTGTCAATTTTCGCGTCAAAATCGAATTATGCTTTTCTCTCGAACGAATGGAAAAAAAAAAAAAAGTGGAAAGTGATGATCGCGCGGAGGAGGGAAAGGAACTGTTTCCGGGTGGATAACCAACGCGAATACCAGATACTCAATTCAGATGTTCAAATCGTGACGACAGGAATTTCTCATTTGCCGAGGAGAGATCGAGCGAATGATGAGATGTGTTTTAACTGTACGTTATTGATTGCGGTACACCGTTCACCGTCTTCGATTTCAGTACATCGTTTTCGTAAGACCATATTGTTTCTTTCCCGTTTTCATAAACTCTGCAACAAAAAAAAGAAAATCAGTGATGAGACAACAGATGTGTACGCTGGAGAGTAGATATTGTTAAATATACAAGAAAGAGAAACTTACTTTTTGGTTGTAATTTTCTTTCCGTCGATGAAACGAGTTGAGGTACTGGTACGTTTTACAGCCGCACCGGAGCCAAATCCGTCAATGCTGTTAAAAGAAGTGAAATTTCCGGTGAATCCGCCATTATCAAATGGTAAAATATTACGAAATTGATAATCGAATCCAAACGGTCCAAAGATGGAAGTGCTTAGACTGTTACTGTGTCTTCCTCCGGGGTCTCTTCGGGAACTGCCACCAAACACTAAAAACATTCGCGAGAATTGCGATAATTGGAGAGTGATTCATACGCTTCCGTGAATTTTTCGTGTTTCTCATCTCTCACGGCAAATATCTCACCGGAAAACAAATCGTCGAACGGCATGCCATCGAAGAATTCCCTAAATACTTCCTCGGGGTCTCTAAATACGAACGTGCCGGCGAAATGCGGGTCGAAATCATCTCCATGGCGGCGTTTGCCTCCATTCATTTCAAGACCATCCTTGCCAAATTGATCATAAACGCGCCTCTTCTTGTCTAAAAATAGCCAAATACAACAATTATTTTAGTAGCTTTTGTTTTAAATATAGTCCGTTCAATTGTATTCAACCAAAACCCAACAAGCGAGGGCACCGCAAGGCTTGCCAAAAAGGTTAGTCCAAGATTGTCTGATAAATTGTGGTAATAAGACATGAAAAAAAAAAAAAAAAAACAAATCTGAGGAAGAACTTTTTTATACGAAAACTCGTTGAATATCGCTTTACATCACTCGAATCTGCTAGAAATCGATCGAATTTTCATTAAAAAAATACAACTGTTGATCGCGTTAATAATTCTTTGGCAGTTAAGTAGCTGAGAATAGAACGCAGGCAAGGTTAACTCGGCAACGGCATTCTTGTTATTCGGCGTGGACACTAGAAAGGAAAACTTTTGTCGAGTTTCTCCCTTCCACTGTCATTTTTTTTTTATTAAAAAGATCTGATAAATGAATGATTGCATGTGTTACGCACGTCGGTAGTTGTGTGTGTATTCGATGAAGCTATTTCAATCAAACACGCGTATATCTACACAGTTCAGATTTACTGGTGGGAGAAGAGATGTATCTAAACTTTTTATAATGTATATAACTTTTTTATAAACGGCTGTGTCCGTTAAATGTTTCCGCGGCTCAAAGTAGGAGAAATTGTCGTTCGAACGTTAATCAATTTCTCTGTCACGTTTCACGCTCGTTTGATGGCGCTTATTCATTGTTCAAAAGGGCGCAAAGAAGAAACGCGCAGTATTTAGCACAATATTGAAGCAAAAAAAGAAAAACCTGCAGTACACAAAATGCTTTGATCACTCTGCAAATCCTATCTTTCTTTTTTTTTTTTTTTTTTTTATTTTTAATTTCAAATGGTACCGAAGTATCGCTGGAAGGGAGAATCAAAGAAACTCCGGAAGGTGAATCCACGGCCGGGTCTCGACGCCGCCCTCTGATACAAGCGCTGATCGTAAGTGCGTCTCTTCACATCTGTAAAGATTTTCTATATCGCCCCCGATCTCTTTTCTATACACACGCACAAATCACGCACTTCTCTCGAGCTCTTTTGACAATCTGCAATCTATTCTTGTATTCCCTCCCTTTCCGGAAGAAACACCTTTATTATGTGAACAATCTCGATTAAAAAAAAAAAACAAAAAAAAAAAAAGAATAGCTCCTTCTTAATCACGTCAATCCTAAAGTTTAAATACTCTTTTTCTTACAGACTAATTAAATAATTAAATATTCAAAACAAGCAAGTAATGATTTCACGGCTAAAGAATAATTTCTCGGTTATGTGTGAGAATCTCTCTTGCAGCGTTCTCCTTGATCAGATTATTATTATTTTTATTTTTATTTCAATGCGCACTTACCATCAATCAACACTTCGTAAGCTTCTGATATTTCCTTAAATCGTTTATTCGCCTCCTCCAAATTCTCCGGATTTTTGTCTGGGTGCCATTTCAGCGCTAACTTTCTATATCTGTGAAACAGACGTGAATAAACATCGTTGACTTGTTAAAAAAACAAAATGTTAAAACAAGATTTGCCTCGCAAATGATTTTTTTTTTCTAAACTCCAAGGAATTATTAAATAAACTGTAACAAATTTTGATACACTTACGCTTTTTTGACATCACCGTTCGTGGCGTTCCGCTGTATCTCGAGGATTTTGTAGTAATCGACCATCGTTTGGCACGTTCGTGTGAATCAAAATTTAGGAAACCACCTGTCGAACACACACAATGCGAATATCAGTTGTCAGCTGTCATTGAGAGATCGATCGAATTCAAACTCTAATTTTATTACACCGTCGCAAAGAGACGTACGAAAATCCGACATCGATATTATTAAATATCGTCATGATTTCCTTGAATCCGCGCGCGGTTCTCGCGCTACGGTGACGCGCGACAGCGATATATTTTCGACAATTTCTACATAACACATCGGACCGGCCGATATACGGCGTTAAAAAAATTCAAATCGCCCGCAGGCGAGAGATCGCGCGCAGACGTTACTGCCGCCGCGTTATCACAACTTGTTATCGCAACTTGTACGTCGATCGTCTTGCGAAGAGGAGAGGAAACGCGAATATTACGCGATTGTGTCGAACGATGCGCGACGATGGGATCGCGACGAAACACTGGGGAGCGGTTCGAAGACTTTTGACCACCAACGAAATTGCTAAAGTTAGCCAAGTTCACTATCAAAAATAGTTAGAAACACGGAGGTGTGGAGGTCATCGCGATATTGAGTCGTTGCTGTTCTCTCCGAAGAGAGGAGAGTGAAACCCTCTCTCTCTCTCTCTCCGTGATTTCACACCTACCCAATTTTTCACGTATCGCCCACTGGCACTAATTACCTCGCGCGAATTAAATCGAGCGAAAAACCGACGACCAAGTGCGCATCGCTAACTCACGCGCCCACTTTGTCCCACGCCGACGACACAACGCGTCTCGCGCTACTTCAACTAATCCTCGATACTACTTTTGCTTTCGATAATTGGATCCGAGCCAAATGGAATTGCATATGTACATGCGCCCTTCTCATTAGAGAAAGAGAGAGAAAAAATCGCGCAGCGACCAAAGTACCCTTGCTCGCCCCCCCGACACGGCCTACATTAGATACTTACGTATGTGTGTGCGTCTGTACGCGCGTATATAAAATTTTATTTTATAAATTTTACATACACGCGAGATTATGCATCTACAACACGTACAAAATGCGAAGTTCTTCGAGTGACTCACTCATCTTTTGGATTTGATTTTTGGGTCTGCTTACACGCTACCCACGTGTCGGATACAAAGAGCATGAACGTGTTCGTTTCGCGACGTGGGTGACACACAACTACGTAATCCCGCTTACACACGCAACAACATGACAAATTTCTCGTTTTCATTTATCTCGATTTATCTCGTATCGTTTTTTTTTTTTTTTTTTCTAAATAAACACACAGGTTCGCCGTTACCGCGCAAAATTTCTCGCGACGCAATTCAAGTACTTCGAGTGTGGGAACACCACGGAACCTGGCGCGGAATTAATCGGGTCTATATGCGAAAACTTTCTAATCGATCAAACTTGCGGCAACACATGATCGTCGTCGGAAAGGGAAAACGGTCCTCAAAAATATTGAAGTAAATATTCGCCGGAATATCCGAAAGACGGACACGCACTTGTGAAAAGGACAAATGTGAGAAGGAAGCAGCAAATTCAGTGGGCGTCCTTATGCTCTTACAGGGAAATGTGACGTCAGTTTTACATATTTGGATCGCGAGTATACACAAACGTATCGGAAGAAAAGGATTTCGCGTCGTGTGTGTGTGTGTCGCAAAAGCGTGTCCTCGCGCGTTCAATTGTTTTGCGAGTGTAGTCCTCGGGAGATTTGAAGTTAAATCAAATGATAAAATATAATTCGTTCAAGAGCAAACGCGCATTGACACGTGATGCTGCAACTGTCATCGCGATTATCTATTAATTTTTACAAGATTACACAAGTGTGATATCTCGTATGCGCGCGCGCGCCACACACACACGCACACACACACAAATCTAACAGAGAAACAAGGACACGATTGTTTTTCAATCTGTTGAAGTTTAACAAGTTCGATCTCACACCTGCGTAACAAAAGCAAAAGTACTGAAATATCACATAAAAGTACATGAATTCACATGAATTAATTATCTCATCAATAATCAATACTTCCAACATAAATTTAAATATAGCTTCAACGTTTTACCTTACCACGCGACAAACGCACTATCATAAAGCGTGAAATAGCGTGTTTAATAAATTTTTAACACTTTATAAGTGTCGCTAATTTATTAATTTACAATATTATATCCCGCAATACGCGTCGTGCAAAGAATTCACAAAATTACTTCTGTTTTTCCTTTACTCGCGTGTACACAACACGGCACAAAAACACAATTCAATTCAGTATTGTCCTTCGGTTATGTCACGTCATGCTTCGCAACAAGAGCTCTACTTTTTTTTTTATTTTTTTTTAAGAACATTCGTTGTTAAAACATTTTATATCGCGGATCATTGTTGTGCAAGAAACTTTGTGTGTTTCGATGTGTTGCGCAATTCTAACCTACGACTTCATTTCCATCTCTAATGAGTCAACGGTATTGTAATCCGGATTTAGTGGTGCATCCTAATCAATGATTTCACAACATTACACACGCAGGATTGACGTGGAACGAAAACTTTCTGGCGTTCCGTCATAGCGATTCGATAATTATTGCGTGTTCACATCGACATGACAACAAGACCCGAAGACATCGAAGTAATAAAAGAGAGAGAGAAAAAAAAATACACACAAAATTCGCGTTTTACGCGTACAAATTCGATCGTCGAGTCGAACACTACCGTTTCCAGTTTGATGTGACCTACAAGCGTGTTATCAGCCGAAAGCGATGTACGTACCCGTTTCCTCATTTCACCTGATCGCACACCGATAACTCACAAAACGTTTTTCGACAGGACAACACGAGGCTACGTGGTGGCGAGTTTCGAGCCTCGGTAAAAATATCGAGGCTTCTTCGAAAGCGAAGCAACGATTTTTCACGCGAGTTCGCACGTTATTCAATCGAGAAGCGCAAATCAACATACACACGTACGCAAACAGGACAAAAAGCAGATTAAAAGCGCGTAACGGCGGGACGGTTTTTCGCGATCGCACGGCAATTTTCGTCGAAAAGTTTTATCTCTGATACTCACCCCGAAAATGGCTCCTGTGCGTTGCCAATCGTGCTGTTCGATCGGTTTTACGGGAAAAAGATGATTCGCGTCTCGATAGGAGAGAAAAGCATACGGGACTACGGAGCGAACGAAAGGGGTGAAACACGACAACGACGTGAAGTTGCTGCTTCAAACAAAGCTCGATATCCAATATGGACGTTTCGATTTTTCTAGTAATGTGTTGTGCTGTTGCATGGGAACACAATGGAGTTGCCCAGCGGTGAGGTTTGAGGAACGCACCAAAGCCCCGTATACCGCGAATTGCAGATGGCGTTTGCAGATCGGCCAATCGGATCGAAGCAGTCAATCCCGGTCGTCAATCGCGACCGAGTTCGCAACTCGATTGTTTAACGCGAGCTTAAGATCGACGAGTCATAATAATTTTTCACACATTCGAATAATCCGGTCTATTGACCGATTCGCGAGATCGGTCGATTCTCCGTCTCAGAACTCTTTGACTGAATCGGTGCGTTCAGAAACTCACATCGATTGAGATTCGAGTTGAAATTCAACCAATCGGAATAAGGAAAACCAATTTCACGTCATTGGTGAACTTCGCTCTGATTGCTCGAGCTTCTCTCCGATGCGAGAATCAAAGTTCCTAGCAAACATTGGAATCCTATCGGAGATCAGAGAAACTTGTCAATTTCCTGTATGTTCATTGGTAATTTAATGACGTATATAATACACGCCCTAATGGAGGATTTACACGGTGACCGGCTTTATCAGTCGAGAATTCAACGGAATTCAACTGCGGTGGGTCACCACGCTAGTTGAATTCGCTCGAATTGACGTCGACTGGAAAAACACGCAAGCACGTAACGAGAACAACAGTCCGAAAAACTGGAGCGGAATTCTGCAGGCGTGTGTAATGAATTGTGTTTTAATTTTTCTCCGTGTGTCCAAGCCGAATCGAGAGTAGAGCGAGGAGAAAGCTTTGGCTTTTGACAGCCGATCGACAGTCCGTACGAATGCGAATGTTGTATCAAACTTTGTGAGTTTATCTTTCGCACGCAATCATGGTAAGTCGAGTTCAAGTTTCGCTGATCAACTCGCAAAACGTACAGCTTTTATACAGTACAGCTTGTTCGCGCTAATTTTTGACGTTTGAATCGTCTCGGATTTTGTTGCAGCAATTATTTCCTGAGATTAATGTGCAAGGCAACGTGTTTCTAAACGTGTCTCTTGTTTGTGTTTGTTTTGCAGTCGGGAACGCTGAAACCCTATCTGACAGCAGTCAGGCGTACGCTCACAGCTGCCATGTGTCTGGAGAATTTTTCCTCCCAAATTGTAGAAAGACACAACAAACCTGAAGTAGAAGTAAGAGCGAGCAAAGAATTGCTGCTAACACCTATCCAGATAAGTAGAAATGATAAGGAGAAGGTCCTGATTGAATCTAGCATTAACAGTATGAGGATAAGCATTGCTGTCAAACAGGCGGACGATCTGGAAAAGATTCTTTGTCACAATTTCACAAGATTCATGACAATGAGAGCCGAACATTTTATGATACTTAGAAGAAAGCCAGTAGAGGCAAGTGATAATTGATTTATTACCTTATTGCAAATATAATCTCCTTAATAATTATGTGGTTTCAAAAATATTCAATTTCAGGGCTACGACATTAGCTTTTTAATCACTAATATTCATGTTGAGCAAATGTACAAACACAAGATAGTAGATTTTGTTATTCACTTTATGGAGGAGATCGATAGAGAAATCAGTGAAATGAAGTTGTCGGTTAATGCCAGAGCTCGCATTTGTGCGGAGGAGTTTTTAAAGAGGGTAAATATCAAACTACCACATTTGCAAGTGTCTTTACCGCAAACGGTATTGTTTACCTGACATGTTAAATTTCAGTTTTAGTGCATTCACCACGTACTATTCCCGATGATCAACGATTAGAGGAGTGCAGGGCATATAGCGAATTGTTTATTTGGTGTGTCATTGTACCATCGTTGATAATCTTTAAAACCACCAAAAAAAAAAAAAAAAAAATTAGGAAAAACATTTTTATAAAATATCCAATGATATATGTGTCCTTGCCCACACGACCCGTTAAATCGTTCCGTGTTAAATAAGGATAAGATGATACGAAAAAGAGACTTGATAAGAATTCAAGCAATATTTATAAGAGAGAAAATATTGCGCAATTTTTGTTGAAACTGAATTTTATATGTTTGCACACAGTGAAACATAATGTTTAAAACAGTAGAAGAAAATGAAATATTTATTCTGTCCTGATGTTTTGAGTACGGAAATTTTTTTTTTTTAATATCAGAGCATTTGACACGGAACGATTTAATTATATTGTTAAAAAACTGAGATTAAAATCGATATACACATATAAAACCTCTATAACTGATATCCCTGTTGCTGATTACATAATTTCTCGATCACAGTATTACATGATTACGTATCGAATTTATATAATCGTTAGCTAAAGTTTCTATTGTGAAAAAAAAAAACACCGACTTGATTGAGCGTTTGTACCTTCCGAATTTATACATGTTTTACAAAGTTTTATATAATCCATCTTTTCTACATTCTCTACTTGAAAAACAAAAACACATTCGTATATTAGATGTATTGCGCACGAAACATGAAAGTTTTAGTGCAAAATTCGTTCCTCCTCAAAGTTTGAGTCATAAAAACTTTACGTGTAATACAATATTAGATAATTCAATAAAAAAAACAAATACGCTCTGTTTACTTTTCTAAAAATTTGTATTTTTTTATGTCGTAAACATGTTATAAAAGCGAGAGTTGAGATTTACTGTTGACACCGATAATAATTTCTAATTCTACATTCATACACATATATAGTTTTGAATTTATTATCCGTTTGTCACAACACGGAGATTGCATAATCGCGAATGCATTGCATTTTCTGATACGACGACGTAAAAGTTGGCAGCGCCTTCGTAGGCTGCAACCTGACCAACGTCGCGACATTAACGGACGCTTCCGTGAATTGCGAAGTTAGCCGCATTCATGATGGCTCCGTGGCCATTTCTTTGGACAGAAAAGCGTTCCGATCAGTTCGCCGCCAATCGTCCGTGGTGATTCGTGAGTTTCCCAACTGCAAGACCGTGCACGTGTCACTTTTTCATCTTCAACACATCAACCCGCAGACGTTCCCGCACCGACACGCTCTTCCCGTCATTTTCGTCTTTTTCTTAAAAAAAAAAAAAAAATTAAAACTTGAATCTTCTCCAACGCAGGTAACAAGTTTCAAAACTTTGGTTTTTATTTGACGCGATGGCACTCTTCACTGTTGACTCTTTCTCAAAGTTCAGATTTACCGAACGTCTCAGTTATCTCTTCAATTCGTTCTTTAAATTTGTTTAAGTTTATATTTCGAGTGCTATTGTTACAAAAATCAAAATAACAAATTGGCGAGTACCGGGAGACGGAAATAGGATTCCAATAAGTCAACGGACGATGTGTTGAATTTTTTTTTATTGTTCTACAAAAATAGCTGTTAGAGATTACATCCTTTTGTCTGTAACGCGATCGCTGCTTAGTAAACAAGTACGTGCAAAATTTTCGAGGTCCGATTTCCTACGCGGAAATCCAAAAATACGCGTACGGGATTATCGCATCTTTATCCTCACTCCGTGTGTTGATACTTTTATATAAACAAAATAATGCAATCGAAAGATCATTTTATTCTTCTTGTTTTTGTTTAAATTTTTCTCTCACAACTTCGCGTTTTTATCCTCTCGCCGTGAATCGTCGCTTCTTGGTTTTTTTTTTTATTTTTATAGCATTTGTTAAGTCGACGAATTTTTCACACACACGAAATTAAAGATAGATACGTAAATTGTTAGGAAAAAAAAAAAAAAAATACGCGTGTGCGTACAACGTGAGTGCGTGATATTGATTTCGAAATATAAATTTTGACGCTGTGAACCTTTTGCTTTCTATTATATTTCTTGTTTTTTGCGGCGTTTCACCCGCGTTATCTAGTATCTATTTGTTCTCTTATTTGTATTTTCTTCTCGTTCTTTACTATATAGACAAAACGGACTGCACTCCGACATCGAGCTTGCGCGACGCTGCTCGCTTTTTACGCCGACGCTGACGCCGACGGCGACGCAGCCTGGGTTCGTGGTTCGGTGCCGACGTAGTCCGAGGCCTGGCGTCTTCCGATCGGGCACAGGAAAGTCAGGAAGGAAACGAGTCGTTACTGCTGTTGTCGGTTCATCCACATCCGTCAACGTATACTCGTCGATGTGGAAACAAAGACGGTCTCGAAATTACGCGGCAAAAAAAAAGAAATAAGAGTGCGAATCATTGATAAAAAAAAAAAAAAGAAAAAAGAAAACGGAAAGGAAAAAAAGAAGTAGAAACGAAGAAGATCGAAAATTGTTGAATAAAACAGGCGAGAAAGAGAGGAAAGATTTGCAAAAAAAAAGCTGAAACTAGGGGAAAGAGAAACGTCCTCCTCCGAAGATACTCGAGGAAGAAAATATAGACGATATATCGAGAAAGGGTGAAAGTAGGAGAAAGAAAAAGCGAGCGTGAGGTAGTTGAGAAGAAGCACGAAGAAGGGGCTCGTGTGGCTATCTGCGTGTACGTGTGTGCGTGTGTGTACGGGGGAGAATCGCAAGAGAGAGAAAGAGAGAGAACCGTGGTGACACACGAGAGAGAAAGAGAGAAAGAGAGAAAGAGAGAGAGAGAGAGGAAATACAAGAGAGGAGATACGAAATCGAAAAGTTCGCAACTGTGGCTCGTGCTTAGGTAGGATGCGTGTGCTTGGGTGCGGCGTCTCGCCACCACCCGACAAACGACAGTTTAGCAACGTCAATAGCATCCGTAATACTATCGCCCGCGGCAAACCCGGCGCCAGGAACGACAGTCCCGTGAGAACGTTTATCGAGAGCGCGGAATTTTACGCGAGAGGCAGCAGAGCGCTCGCCGGCCGCATCGACGAGGAGGAGAAGAATAATAATCGACGATTTTTCGGGAGCTTGAAAATTTGGCGCGACTGCACCACGCCGTCCGGACTTCTCACGATCGCGGAGGAAGCTCGCCGAGGAGGAAGCTCGACCCGATCCACGTGTTCGATTACCGAAGAAAACTCGCGAGCACACGTTAGCGGTTTCGCGACTGGCGTCGTCTCGCAACCGAGAGGTGTATCCAGCACGCAGTTCCCGGCGTACGAACGCGTCGACAAGAGAGAATTCGGACTGTACGAACTCGATGCGAATTAAGTCCGCCCTTTCCCGCGTATGGTAATATATAATTGCCGTTGGTTCCGGGCGTAGTGAAGGCGCGTTAGCCGGACGACGAGCGCGGCGTCGTCGAGCGACGTCGAGCGGCGTCCAGTGGCGTCGAGTGGTAACGGCTCAAACGGCGTCAGACAGCGGCGGGGTCGCAACTGGCTCCAGTCTGGCTCTCAGACAACGTCCAGACTACTCATGTTCATCCCAGATACTCTGAGAAGCTGCATGGTGGAACCAGATGTCTCGACTTACCTGCAGGCTCCTTCCGTCGGACAGGTGCTTACAATTTTATAAACATCCTTCTTTCAGCTCGCATCGCTACGCATCGTTTCTGTCTTTATTGGAAATCATCATCTTGCACGTGAGCTTCTATGCCATTTTTATTCAATGCTACTTCTGTGTTTTCTTTCGCTCTGTATCATCAGTCATATAGTTTTTAAATACAAATAATTTTTTTTTTTACTGATCTAATAGGACGATAAAAAGTTGAAGGAAGATCGGAGATCAAAATCGACTCGCGGATCGAGTTAGGCCACTCGTTCTGTCGGTTCAAACTTTGCGCGCGCTTTGCGTATTTCGCTCTTGCGTTATTTACCCGGACGATTCGTCTCTCTCCCGCGACGTGCGTTTCAACGTGTACGTTTCGTCAACTGATGTTCGAAGCTGAAATAAACGCCTCGAAACTCTAACGTTTAACTCAAATTCCTATTTTTCCCATTTCTCTTCTTTTGTCTTTTACATATTTTTTTATTCCGTGTGGTCGGGGGGACCGAGTATATAACACAGAGCGATATTACGACCGGGAGAAAAATCACATGACTCTCGTGCGCGGCCACGAATTTTCAAGATTTTATATTTAGCGAAACCGCGCGCGATGTGTATACCGACAGATACCGCAAAAGTCGTTAACACAAAGAGAGAAGAGACAGAAATTGAATTGCATCGCCCGCTGTGTGTTGAGCATCGCGACGCGTCGCGACGCGTCGCGTTGCGTCGCATCGTGTCGGTTCGAGGGCAAATCTAGTAAGCTAGGACAGGAGCTATTAATAACTGTTTAGGGTGCCGTACCTGGCCGCCGCGCGGTGCCGTCCGCGCGTCTCGATACGCGCGTCTCGACGACCGGCGTCTCAGTGTCGTCGCGACGACCGACGTTGTTTTATCCGCGAGTTCCGCTCGTGGCGGACTGGGTCTCTCGCGCACGGATCATTTTCGGCGAGCGAATCGCGAGAGAAATCCGAGGAATAGCGCCCCTCCTGCGTAATCGCGCGTTTTCGCACGCCGACGAGACGAGAACGCGCGACAAGTGTGATACTTCGGTTCGCGCTTAGAAAGAAGAGGAAGTAAATCGTTATCGCGCGCGCCAATCGTGCCAGCGTTTTACAAAAAAGTGCTCCCTCAAAAACTCCGAAACTCCAGGTCTCTCTTTCTCTCTCTCTCTCTTTGCTCACGGCAAAGGCTTGAGCGCCGCAATGGCGGAGGAGCGGCACGGCAACGTTCCTCTTCTTTAAAAAAGAATTTTTTTCTCTGCGAGAGACTTACGCACACATGTTAAATCGTTTAGGTTTTTCGAGCCACATGTTTGACCAAGTACGGATTCGTTCCACTGGTCTCGCCGCGCGAGCTCGCCCAGAAAACCGAAGACGAGCGTGTTAACTTTGCGTTAACTTTATTACGTTTCTCGTTTTTTACGTCTTCCACGTCTTAAGCGTGTCAGAACAATGTGCAATGTGTTGTTCACCGTAGAGGTACTACTGTGGCGGCCGAAGTGATCTCGGTGTGGTCCCACTATATATTTGTATCACCATTTATATATTCGTTGCCGTACGTAATAGAGACCGAGAATCGCGCGCGAATTTCGACCAACAACGTTTTCTACGTACAGTTTTCCCAAAAATTAGCCGATAGCCGGGTGTTAAATCGAGATGCTTTGTCGGTTGTGACTCGTGGACCTTTTCGAATGAGTTCGCGCCACGCAATATTGCGCGAGTAAGTACAGAAGAGGAAGAGGAGGTGGAGGAGAAAGAGGAGGAGGAGGAGAAGGTGGAGGAGACGGTAGTGGCGGAAGAGAAGAAGGAGGAGTTGACGGACTCTAATTTGAGTTCGCGAATCGCTCGTACCTGACAATGGTACGTTTTCCGTGTGACCATCGTTTTCCGGGAGTGATTCACTTTGCGCTTCTTCCTGCTTGGCTGCTCGTCGCGTTTTTGGCATGGATTTTCTCGCGTGAAGAGTAACACTCACAGTAAAATCAAAAAAAAAAAAAAAAAAAAAAAAAGCAAGCGAGCGAGCGAACAAACAGACAACAACAACAACAGAAACAAAACAGATCGGACACAAGATGACACTTTGGAAACGCATCACTTAGCTTTTCGCTTTTGTACATATACCCTTGCTCCCCTTTCCCCTCCTCAACACACACCCCCCAGAACTTTTGTCGCGCGTCTTTTTTTTTTCTTCCATACGTGTTTTCATTCCCGCCGCGATGACGAGAGTGTTTAACGTTTCTGATTTTCATTGGTGTCCGAAAATAACGGCGTTACATACACAGATGGACGCGCGCGTTAACATACAAAGGCGTGTCCGCAAAACGTCTGTGAGCGACGGTCTCATCTTCCAGGTGCGTTTTTTTTGTTTTTTTTTGTTTTTTTGTTTTTTTTTTGGTATTCTCGTTGTTTCTCACACATCCCTCGCAAGTCCCGATCGTTCTTTTTCGTCTGACGTACCTCTAACGTCTGTTTCTTGTTTTGCCAAAAAGTTTTCGCAAATACTACACTGAGAAAAGAGCAGTTTTTTTTTTCTTGTTACACTTCTCCTTCTGTTCTTTTTCCTCTTTCGATTTTTCGTATTGCGCGCAATCCTCTCAAAAGATTCTCCGGTTAGCGTTTCGTTCCGCGTTTTGAATCGCGGTCTTGTAAAAATTTCTCGCGCATAAATAAAAAAAGAAAAAAAAAAAAGTTGTGAAATCTCGGAGAAGACTCGGAGTTTTCTAAAGAGCTTCGTTTTCTTTTGTTTCCGAAACTTAGGAATACCGAGAAAGAATGTGGTTGATCGCTCGGTAAACCGCGCTCCACGTGGTAGGTGTTCGTGAAAGTTACGCGCCAATATCGCACGATTAATAGAACACGGGGAGAGAATATACGGACGCGCAGAGAGCGGAGGCGCAGTGCCGCGAGCAAGATTCCTGGCAGCGGACTTGTGAGACGCTGTGTGATTGTTGTCGCAAAAGTGTGAAGATAAATACGTTGTATCTTCCCGGGGGAGAAAGAACAAAAACGAGAAATAGAGCAAGCACGTGAGAGAGGGTTAAAGAGAGTGCGCGAGCGCGAGAACTAAAAAGTTTTATACCGGAGGGTTGTTGACTCGTGCTTGCTCGAGTCGAGTAACACGAGTCTCTCCGTGTATAAGCGCGAAATCGCGAAAGGAAGGTGGAGCGAAGTCACTCTCTCGTCGTCTACGGGAACAAATCCCCGAAAATATCGGTAACAGATGAGGCCGCGAGCGATCCGCAACTGTGGAGCGAAGGAGTATCGAGGTCTCCGTAATCGTTACTGCGAGAATCGCTGTTTCTGACAGCCGGACGCTGACAAGAAGGACGGACTGACGGTAGTGCGCTACACACAGCAGCTGCAGTGTTTGCGAATACTCGATGGTTCGTTTGTGTTCTTTAGCAGTTTATTCGTAGCGAGATGTGTACACGACAGGAGGAGAAAATCTTATATTTAGTGTGCGGATAGGAAAATATGTAGACGAAGAGAAGATGGATAGATTTATTAACCACGGGGACGTGTGCGTGCCCGTATTGATGCACAGATGACAAATCAGCACGCTGAGAGCTCGATAACTAAAAACTACTGTTATATTGGGTGATTGAATAATATCGCACATCTCTCTAAATATATGTAAATCAATGTAAATACAAAATAACAAAATTATAGACGAAAATAATATTATAAAGGCAATAACGTACACGTATATGATTAAGAAAACGCGTAGAAGGGAAAACACGAAAAGAAGAAATTTTACATTCTCGTTATTATTCAACCGCATGCGAATCATCATAGACAGTTCGTTCACCGATCAGTGTTCATAGCGGAACTAACAAATACAGTTACACATTTATAATCTCCACATTGTTGTTTTACATTATTTTTATATCTGTAATAATTTATACGATGATTTTGTTCTTTGCTACCTGTGTCACATTTTTTAATTTTCTTTCGCTCTTGATAAAATTGTCTTTTTCGTTTTTTTTTGTACAAATAAATATGTGTTAAGAGTGCGAAGTTTTTTTAGCTACTTTTATAATTGTATTACCTATATTGATAGAGAAAAAGAGATCTCAAATACATATAATTTATCTCGATTTGCATTGTTTACACACACGCACACACACACACGCAAACGAGTAAAATAACAAGAAGAAACTTGTCTAGTGACGAAAGACACATTTTCGATCTGTCGAAGTTGAGTTGAGTCTTGCCGTTTCCGATTTGATTTACTCTGTTTAACTTTGATCAACACCTGTGTTTTATAGTATTTATGACGTAATATAGTTTGCATGTGTATTTTCGAACTTGAAAACCGCGGCACTCAAAGCTCAATAATAACAATGGCGATGATATCTAAACAATCCTGTGAAAAAAAAAAAAAAAAAAATAAACACGTGTGATTGCAGGATGAGTTCCATCCATTTATTGAGGCTCTTCTACCGTTCGTGAAATCTTTCTCGTACACATGGTTCAATCTACAAGCTGCCAAGAGACGATACTATAAGAAACACGAAAAGCGGATGAGCTTAGAAGAGGAACGTCAGTGTAAGGAGGAACTCCAGGTGAGAGAGAAAGAGAAAACTTTCTGAGAGAAATCGTAAGCGAATAATGTTATTTTTCATGATTGTTAAAAAAACCGTGTCTTGAGTAAATTGGACAAATTTTATATTTTTTTACGTATAATTAATTATATGCAAATCACACATATATATTGTTTCAATCTCACACATAATTTTATTATTTATAACCAGATGTCAAAAAAAAATTTGACTATGTACACAGGATTTTTTTCCGAGCGTAATTACATAAATTGAAGTGAAAAGTTAATTATCGCAAACAAACTCGTGCAAGATGCATTTACCTGCAAATTTACGTACTTGATTATTGTTGACTCACGTTTTAATAATCCAAAGATTAACAACTGAATGAAAATATTGTTTTCGATTAAATTGATTTTTTTTTTTTTAATTATTAGTTTGACGATAGTCAAACGCGGTTGAACGTGCTATCATCCTAATTCTATCGGGTCGCTTCCTCTACGCCGTGATTTCTATCCTCCCTCTCGCGACAGCGTTCGATCAATATTTTAATTTCGCGATATTGCGGTATTTAGAGGAACAGCGGGGCTGGCATTAACTGGTGGCGCATAGGCGCTCTTTCTTCCTTCTCGCATTTCCACATTTTTGTGTCTTCTATATTTCTGATACATCTCAGAAAAAAAAGCGAGCTTGTGCAAAGTAACCCATAGTCGCTAATTACTATTAAATTAAGCGAAAGCTCGTTTCTCGCTTGTAATCATCTTTTAGTACGCGAGAATTGTTCCACGTGAAAAAAGCAGCATCGGGTCGGCAAACTGACATTTCGACGTTCAGTTTATTCTCGCAAGAAAAATCTCACAATTTTTTACAAAAACATTTTCGCGAGACTTGGTAACGGGAAATACTTTATAATTGTTTCAATAAATCCAGACACGTCTCTGAAAATTGTCTAACATGTTCCGTCGTCGCTATTTGTTTCCATCGCCGAGCTTGTCAATCGTTATAACGTGTTCTTTTACCGCTCGTATACCGCGACTGTAGTACGACACATTAATACATATATACATATATGTATATATATATATATATATATATGTATATATATACGAGTATGTATGTATGTACGTTAAAAGAAAGAATCGGGGAATAAAGGGACATAGATGGAAAACAAGGAAGAAGAGAGAGAGAAAGAAAGAGAGGAAGAGAAAGAGGAGAGATACGAGCCAGATTACGTGCAACGAGTCTGTCGTTTTCTCTTAATTTCGAGACAGACCGCAGTACGATATCGACTACTTCAATTCGGGTGTACGGTACTGCGAGGGACCGAGAGACGAGCGAGTACAGCACGAGCGAAAGAGGTAGAAAGTCAGAGCAAAAGAAAGAGAATGTGAGCAATGGACGGATAGACGGGGATAAACCAGAGCGAGGGGGTGGAAAGGGGGTGCGCGCGGCTCGGCGCTTCCCGGCGCGTCGCTTGTAAGAGGAAGGAAGAGGAGCACACGTATGCGAGAGAAGTACATGTAACCCGACCGTGGAAGGTTGGAAGGGTCGGTGGTGAATCGAGAGAGTCTGTATAGAAGGAACACAGTACGGAGAGAGAGAGAGAGAGAGAGGAGGGAAGAGGAGGAGGGAAAGAGAGGGTGACGGGCAGAGGGAGAATCGGGAGGAAGCGGGTGCAGCACCAATACCCACGAGAAGTATCCGCTACACGAGTGCACACCAACTTTTCGGCAACGAGGGATGAGTCGGAAAGAGGAGGGAGGGATGGCCGGTTTGGGGCGGTCGAAAACGGGTGTTGGGGAGAACGTAGACATGTAGCGCATACGCCGTCGCGACGGAGGCTGCGGCTACGCGGCGCCTACCACCATCTATAATCTCTATGCAGATATCGATTTTCCACCCTGTATTTCCTAAATTTATGCAAACTAGCAGCGCAGCACCCTTTCTACCCTACCGCTCGTCGCTCACATTGTCACCTTTTCCGGCTCGTTAACCGAATACGGTGTGCGCGCGACTTTGCAGATTCGTTTTCACAATGCATTTAACATCGTCGGTTGTTCTTTGTTGTTGTTTGTTTCGAGAAAAAAAAAAAAACAATCGATTGTTCCTCTGCTCTGTAAAAAAAAAAATATAATTCCCGCAAAATCTCTCTTTTTACGTATTACCGACGTATTTGTCAATTTTGTTAACAAATTAGTTGAACACACGCAACGATTTGCTTTGATCTTCAGTTTAGAAAAAGAAAGAAAGAGAGAGAGAGAGAGAGAGAGTTTGTATTTATCGTAGGGAATATAAATCACAATTCTGTTCCGACCTCACGCGTGCGTTCCGATATATTGTATTTGCAACATTCTACGTAAAATCTGGGAATTGCCTATAAGGAAATCGCAGAGAGTCGCTTTGTTCGCGTCATAACGTAGTAACGTAAAGGATCGGCGGGATATACATGGCCGCCGGGAAGCTTGCCAAATTAATAAATATATTCCCAGTCTCTCTATACTCCACTTGGAATTTTCTTCCTTCTATTCCACGCGGGTCTGTGTACATACGTACCCGCTGAATGATAACCCACCCTCTGAGATGATGCCAGTCTACGACCCCTCAAAGCGTCGCTTTGATTTTGCATAAAAATACGTTTCCTGCAGTTTCATCATACACACGTGTCGGTAATGTTTTCTTACGTTTGAGAGAAATGTTCTTTTTTTTTTTTTTTTTTTTTTTTTTTTCATTTTCTCGCTCGTTTTTTGTTTTTTGTTTTGTTTTATTTCCGTTGTTTACTTGTCGCGCGTCACCTCGCCGGCAAAAAATCTCACTCGAAACTTTTGTTCTCAACTATAGATGCAAACTTTTTAATTTCTTCGCGTCATCGGCGTCTTTCCGCTACTATACTTGACCACGCACACAGCACGCACGCAACGACAAACATTCCCATTCCGCGCATGCACCATTAGAAGAACAGTCGGGATTGAGTGGAAAGTTTAGAATAGTGGGTTTGCTCGGTTTAAATTAAGATTTAAGGGATTTGTGCGTCCCGCGTGTGATTGGTAATGCAAACCGGTCTCGTTCGAACCGTTAAGTTGTCACACAATGCAGTCGATGCTCGATTTCTGCGTTATCTGAAAGTAGTAACGCACGATTTTAACACGTCGCAATTTAGAAACCTAACAAAATATCGAAAACACAATTGATATAGAAAATGCTCTTCTTTCGTTTTTTTTTTTTTTAGTATCACCAGATAGTCTCTCTTAAAGAACAAACCTTTTTCGCTAACACGAAAAAAAGAGGAAGATGACCTTTGTGTTACAACAAAATATTTCAAATAAAAATATTTTTTTTTTTAATGCAATTTTTAGTTTCGTTCGCGAAGCAAGAGTGAAAACACGAGGAACACGAAAAGAATTCAAGAAAAAATTGTTCCGCATGAATAAATTCGATATCAAGGGAGAAGTTTATGCAATTATATCTCGATACATCAATCGTTTTTATGTAATTTGTACATAGTAATAAATAAGAGAATTTGTCCATGTGTATAAACAACTTTTTTTTATTTTCCGGGAAAGGGTGAGAGGTATCGTGTGAAATTGCAATAGCACGGGCAAATAATTCGCCGTCGAATGAGCTGCCGCTCCTTGCGGATAGCGCGTACGCATGTCACGGTACACGCGCTCTCGGTACAATTCCCGTGAACACGGTTCTCCTTCGCATTCGGCATACTTGATATCGAGCATACGCAGAATGCACCGTAAGCGCGCGCGACGCGCTTTCTCCGGAGCAAAACCCGCGAACGCACTCTCTTTATCCGTCGCTTTTATTCGCGAGTGCGCGAACGTGCCTGACATTTTATTTCTACAGAAATGTTTTAAGAACGTCAACGCCTGACACTCACACACACTTTTTAACTACTTATACTACCTCCTCCCCCCGCTGATAGTCATTACGGTAAACGCGCGTCTGCGAATAAATCGCTACTGTGTGTTGTACCGTTGATAATTGTGTACGTGCTTGTAAAATTGATAATAATTGCGTTCCCACGCGCACTATATACTTAGATTCATATTCAATTTTATTAACAGTAAAATAATGTAATAAATAATCAAATTGAAAAATAATAAAATATTAATAAGCGTGTAGAAATACAATTAATATTATTTTTATTATTAATTTTATTATTTAATAGTTTGTTCACTATTGCACATATTTGCTCAGGCCAATGATGTACACTTCGTACAAACCACTTGCGCGAGAAACGCGTTTTTCCTCGCATTGTCGTGGAATTTTATCGCGCGGGGAACAACACGTAAATAATTAATTAGCTTCGTTCGATATTATTTCCGCGCGAAATGAGATACTGTTTTGATAAGTGAGAAGAACTCGCGCGAACGTTTGAGATCTCTCCCTCGAGTTGTGTACGATGTACGCGCAGTACGGATGTACGTGCGTGTACGTGCGCAGCAAAACGGGCTAGGCGAGATAGATCGCGCACACAGTACACTCCGATGCATTCCACGCACTTTCAATGCATTTCTCAGGGATTTTATGCATGCGTGTTATTTGCTATTCCGAGTGTGACGAGGGTCGCACGCGTGCGCTGCATATCGCTCGCCGAAAGATGCGCCTCTCTTCGAGAGATTGTCGCTAGTCGCTATTCTCGCGCTCGGGAAAGGGTAAGAGAGGGGAAAGCGTGCAAACTTTACAAACTCGACGAAATTTTTCGCCGCGCCGCTCCGGTTGCTGAACTACTTTTCCGCTACGAATAAATATACATATACATGTAGAGTCGAACGGCACGTTTTTTCCCAAATTGTATCCGAATTTCTTGAAACAACTTTCGAGAGTTATATTCGGTTTAATCAGTATTATATCGCTGTTAAATTTGTACTAGCTAGTAGTTTGTTATCGCGGGATCGTGAAATTACACGTGTTACATCATAATAGAGATTGATCGATGTTATATACTAGCGGATAATTTTGCTTTCTCCAGAACGAGAAGTTGGAAGTAAAACAGAAATGGGCCTCGCGGCTTCTTGGAAAGTTACGGAAGGATATCACGCAAGAATACAGGGAGGACTTTGTACTGAGTATCACGGGAAAGAGACCAGCGATGTGTGTTCTAAGTAATCCCGATCAGAAGGGAAAGATGCGCCGAATCGATTGTCTTCGGCAAGCGGACAAGGTACGTTTCATCAAATTTGTTGAAAAAATAGATTTGTTCCTAAAAAAAAAAAATAATCGAATAGCAATAGGCGCGAGCGTGATTTCCGACTCAGAACGTCTTGAAATTTTTTTGTGAACAGGTATGGAGGTTGGACCTAGTTATGGTGATCCTTTTTAAAGCAATTCCATTGGAATCGACGGACGGAGAACGGCTAGAGAAGACTGCGGAATGCGCGCAGCCGGGCCTCTGCGTCAATCCTTATCACATCAACGTTTCCGTCCGGGAACTAGATCTCTATCTCGCCAATTTTATCACGAGTCACGGTAAGATACAGATTCTGAATTCGATTATAATTGCGCGACTGCGGGGAAAATTCGGGAAAACGTTGATTTTAGAATAAACATCAGCGCTCCGAGGCTCTTTGTTTTTCATCCGAGACGGAGTAGTCGAGTCGGGAAAGCGCGAGAACATAAGCGCGCATCAATGAATATTTATATTATCTGCACATTGCGCAAACATCTATTTTTAAAAATGTCGCACGATCTCCGAAACGAAGGGAAGAAGACTTGGTCCACTAGTCTCTATATATTTCCCGTCACGAACTGACCTTTCTTCTATGGTTCCCATGCTGCGCTCCAAATATTTACACGATATTGTGCGATATAATATCCGCGTACGAGCCAACGTGTCTACGACTGTTCCGTATATTATTGCATATATATTATTACACGCACATACACACTATATGCGTGTCTCTTTTGTGTGTCTGCTAGTCGATGCGAGCGCGGTGTGCCGAATGAACATGTAGAGAAAATGTGCACGCAAGCGCGTGACCATGCTTGCCGCTGTATGCTCGCTCTATAAATAAATAGGCAACGGACATCTTTAGCGAGCTCACAGAGCTTCGCTTATACGTTGATTTTCTTTCATGCCACTGAAAATACCTGAATATTTTTGTACCTGTGAGAAGGAATCGTTGCGTGTCATTTCAATTGATTTTCGAGTGCCGGAGAGATCCAGCGATATAACTCCTCGTTTCCGTATTTTAAACGGATGTTAAGCGTGTACGTAATTTACATGTGCAAATTTCTCAATTAAACGTTGAATTTTTATTTAACAAGTTTCTATTTTAAAAACAATTGAAGAATGACTCGTTAACATTTTTATTACAGTTCCTGTTTAATATTTCGCTTAGTTAAAAGATTGCTTTTTTGCGATAACGCGTCTCGCTAGATTACGCAACCTTGAAACAAATCTCAAAGTTTCTGTTTTACCTTCTTTTATTTGATACACCAGTGTAAAATTAACAGATTTGAAAACTAGAAAAAAAGTTTTTTTTAAATAATATGCAATATATATGATAGAAAGAAAGAGAAAGAGAGAGAAAGAGAGAGACAGTTAAGAGACACGACACGTCTGTATATATATAGAGAAGCGCAAAAATATATTTGTCATGCGTACGTAACAAACAACAAATATATATTTAATCTGTTTTTATATTAATTTTTCATTTTATTACTTTATCATTTTTGTAACACATTTTACACACAACCGCAATAAAATTTTATTTCTGAATCGGTATAGAAAGCAATTCTCTCTTTGATCTGCTCCTCTTGATCCTCGAGAAATCGCTGTACATTCCGGACCCTCGAGTATTTCGGTGATACGTTGCGTAATGAGATTTGCGTAAAACGCGATGGTATAAAACGCCGTGCAACAGAGAAAGAGAGAGTGTGAAAATACGAAGCTTTTTGTCAACAATGACGAATGATTTTGCGTAGGATTTCGTTCTGCGTGTTCCTCTCGCGGGAAGAAACTCAGATGAAATCCAAAAGAAATAAAAAATTCTCAAAAATTATCATTAAACAAATTATCCGTCTTATTTATTAATCCGTCGTATGTTTTTTTTTTCTGTTGTGCAGAAGTTCTAAATGGTATCTGCAACGCCAACAAGGAGGAGGACAGACGACGAAAAGGTACTCTCTCACGCAACCTTGCGGGGTTTACGTAATTTGTACAATTATATACCATTCTTGTTTCTCTTTTTGTCTTATACGCTAGCACATTTATTTATATTCACTTGTCAAAGCTAATCTGTTCACATTAATCACTAAATGTCCTTCCCACACATTTATACCCGCACGTATATTTGAACTCGTGTGTGGATCGCCGAGCCGAGCAGATATTAAATATTGTTCGCTGGGTTTTGTTCCCAGGTACAGGATACCACGAACTATATAACGGTGTTATCTGCAATGACACGATTCTTGCGACAGGTGTCTTCAGCTCCAAAGAGCTCTGGATGCTTTCAAAAGGTACGACGCTGCGTTTCTCACAGATATACATGTACATAAATATATATATATATATATATTCGAATTTTTCCTATTAATTGCATGCAGTGATCTTTCGATTAGACTCGCGCGACACGCGTTTGTTATCCGACAAAAAATTTTTTATACTGACTCGGCTTATAAATATTCGCGAATCACAACGTTAGATCTTTTTATATTCTTTCGTGGATGCTTTCGAAAGGTGACGAACAGTGCGAGATACCTTTTGAAAGGATCCTGATAGCTACGTACGTTCGTATGTTTCTTCCTGAATTGTATATGATCGCTATAATGTCTGTATATATAAAGAATTATGATAATAACTGTATATCTCAAGGTAAGATCAATGGCAATGCGCCTTATGTGCCACACAGCGTCGGGCCGTTACCCTTTTGGAAAGGCCATACGTGAGTTCTCGGTGTGTGGACTCATCATTGGCAATCTCAATAATAACAAACGGTTTAAAATGGCAATACGCCATTTGTCAGAAATCAAACGGCGGTACAATGGCTGCGTACTTATGTTTTTTTTTCCTTTGATTAAATTTTTGTCGATCGTCGGTTTACGTATTATCTTGTTATCGTCACAGTCTTTTCTTCGCGCAGTGTCATCAAAATTTTTTTTTTCATGTGACATTTCGTGGGATTAGCTGAGAAAATCGTTCCACGCGCGCGCGAGCGCGCGCTAGTGTTTCCGCTCATCGGAAGGCAGGCGTCACAAGAGAATTTAAATCTCTTTTAGTATTTTATCATTTCTTTATTTTGTTGTTTTTTTTTTTTGTTCGCACGGAAGCGCCATTTTCGCGATTGTGCGATCGAGAGGAGCGCATCGAGAACGAATGGCACACATACGTACGCGCAAGTAGCTGCTAATGTGTGTCTGGTTTCAGCGTCCATACTGCATGACCTCAGCGACATGCAGCCTCAAATAAACGCGATCAAAATAGAGCACCCGCCGTACTACTGCAGCAGCTACACCCCTCCATCCGCAGCCACGACCGCGGATCACGTTCAGCCGGCGGCTAGCTTCAGTGAGTTTCAAAATCTGCCTTTGCCCTTATTTTTAGTAGACAGAGTCGGGGTCGAACGGTAACCGCGTCGTCCGTGTCCGAAGCTTGCTTAAACTAGTTCACGTCACCACGAGCGGAAAGGACGCGGATTTCAAATGTGGAAATTACACTTGTCCGATCTGTAGACATGTCTTCTGTGTCAGCTGATAAAATCGGTGCTAAGCAATCTTTATTCGATCGCTTTATTTTATTTCAACTCTCGCTACTTTATGAATTTTCTTGTTTTATATCAATTCTCTGAGCGCGTAAGAGTATTTTTTTTTTTTTTTTTTTTTTTGACGTGTGAATGTCAAGTTTCAGAAGAAGATGTGTGAAAAAACACAATTCGCACGCGAGTAATGATACCGGGTAAAAAATTCTTTACATCCCACCACGGTATCGATTGAAATCATGCGGCAAGACACACAGACGCGAACGGTGTCAATTGCCAAGGATATGAACAAAATTTACAGTCAAAATAAAACGACTACTTTCACAAAAGAGTGCGATATAAACAGAAAAAAATTCCAGCAATAAACTCAACCACTGGATCATTGCCAACTATATTCTCATGATTCGCCTTTCTTTTTACCGCGCATACGGGGGGTATGTCTTTGTATTAAAACGGAGAGCGTGCGCGATCGATCGCACATATAAGCATTCCTAACGTAGTAATGTGTCATAATAAGAAATACCGACGACTGTTTCCCTCGTATACGGGGACCGTAATCGAATGTTACAAAATTGTGTTTGCTTTGTACGCGCAGGCCCACCACCGGTTCATCAACTGATAAGGAACGATAAGACTGAAAAGCCGCCGACAGTCTCGGTTTCAAACGCGCCGACGTTCTCGTCGGTGCTCAGGCCAGAAGACGGACATCGCGGAATAGAATCGCCGCATTCGCAAACGGGTATGTATACTCGATATAGTATTTTTCGGATACCTACGTGTCTACATACACCTCACGATAATGCGAATTATTCAATTCTGACTCCTTATCTGACGACTTGCATGACGACAAGGAAGGAAATCAGACAACATTCGTTATATTCCGAACTACTGTGGAGATCTCTGAATAATCTGTTTTACATTCGTATTAAAAAAAAAAAAAAAAGATGACACGTTCTGTTGTTTCAACTAGATTTCTTTTAGATCAAACGCCGCTGTGTCGAAAGAACGTTTCTCTTTATAATTGATACCTTGATACGAAGTCAGAAGTCGGTGAGATACATGCACGTCAGTTATATTAGTATTTTCACGTTCAGAAATAAGGAAATACGCGCAAACGTTTCTTGCAGTTATATTAAAAAAAAAAAAAGAAAAAACAAAAACCACTGTTTTGTTTCTTATAAAACAAACAATTTATCGAATTATAAAAAATATTGAGAGGAGATTTCGCTTCAGAATCGTTTCACGTATATTTTCTTGTTTCGGATATTATAATTTATAAGATAATTTAGAAGAATTTTAAAAACAAAAAAAATCATTACGATCTGCAGTAATCATTGTATCATTTTAACGCAGCCGAAGTTTGTGAAAGGGAGGGGAAAGGGAAGGAAATCTGCTTAGATGTAAAATTCTCCCAAAAGTTCGCGCGTATATTAAGAGGAGGATATATTGCTTTTCTTAGATAGGAATTGAATTAAAAAAATATATATATGTAAAAAATAACGTGTGCAGCACGTTGTTTTTTTTTCCGTAAAAAGACTGATTGATTTTTTCATGTCAAAAACATTTTTAAGAAGAGTTACACCAAAATGTTTTTGTGTACAATCTGGCGCATTAATGGTGCACTCACGGTGCATTTTAATTCAATTCGTAGTCATTTCTCTTTACTTATTAAATACTTTACACTTGAATATACACTTGAATATACAAGAGAGTATCGCGCGTGACATGAGACCATTTTTCTAAATTATAACTAATCTGAAAGTCACTTCGGGCGAAAAATCACACGAAGCAATTTTATTGTTGTGTTTTGTAATATTAAGATATTGTGTATGATAATACTGAAGAAAAGATGAAAATAAATCATTACGTGTTTTAAAACGCAAACGTCGTAAACGAGGACACATTGGACATTATTAATGCATCCGATTGTACCGTTAAATAGTGACACCTTTTATCAAGATATCTACGCTGTGTGACCTCATATAAGACACGACTCTTGATTTCTTTATTTCTTTCTCACTTTCTCTCCTATCCCCGTCTCTCTCTTTCTCTGTCTCCCCCTCTTTCTCTTTTTCTCTCTCCCTTTGTCTGTCTCTCTCTCTCTCTCTCGCGTGCGTGCACGGCTCTAAATTGCATGTTTGGTGACCAGTAATTTTAACTAGTTAACCAACATGAATCTAATATTTGAATTTTTATCAAGTTTAACCATGCTTTCAAAGCGATCGCGGTGCGCTTCGTACGTTAAGTATGGGAATCAAATTATTATTGTCATCAATAAATAATTGTTGCATGTGTCTCGATTATATTGAGAAGAGATATGCGATAAGTTAGGTTACACGTTATAATCTATCAGTAGATGATGTTTGCATTATTTTTTTTCTTGACGCGCCTCTGTCCTGAAAAAAAATCCAATTATTTCTCAATAAGTTGAATTTTGTCTCTCCCTTATTCTTTTTTTCGGTGTATCCTTGGGAAAAACTAAAAAAATGTAATTCTCTTTTTTCAATTAAAAAAAAAACAAAAAAAAAAAACGATTCACAACGACACACACTTCTGTTTTTGGAATCTCTGCTTTGAATGACTTTTTTTTTGAATATTTTCGATACTTCTCGTGCGCGATGAATTTAAATTAAAAATCCAACTAATATGCATATCGAATAAATCGATGTCCAATCGATGAAGAGTTTTGAAACATTCAATTGCTCCCGATTTGTCTATCTACTTTTTTCCATTATTTGTAGTTACTGCGTAATGTTTTTTAAAAGTATATATTTTGCGAAACTTAATCGAACTCGAATATTGTACGACAAGTAGTAGAACACATCCTGCAGCACACACTTCAAAGTGTAATATATTTACACGAAGACACATCTCACACACTCATATACACATATACGTTTTTTTTTACAAAAAGTAACCAGGAAAGAAAACAACTAAACCACTACAACAGAGTGATGTTTCTTTGTAATACAGCATGTACTCGAAAAGAAATGTGCTATAAAATACTTGGCGTATATAAATATTATTTACTTCGCAGCTATTTGGTCATTCAACGTTTGTGTGTTATAACAATTATATTATGTACGTAAAAAAATAAAAAAAAAAAACAAGCAACAAGTGTCCGTCGCAATGCGTAACCGACTTAGTGTAACACTTGATTGAATTACGTAATCTGTTATATCGTATCAGTTGCGAATAATTTTCGCGTTTTATATCACACCGAGACGAGACAGATTTATCAGTTCTGTTGACAGTTTTTTTAGGTCTGCCGGGTCTGTAGAGTAATCTCTGTTAAAACGCTATCCACAATCTACCTACCAATCAACGACTGTGTTAATGACTCGCGTTAAAAATGACGCGTCATGTCTGTTTCAGTCTGACCCTGAGTGTAGAGAGAAGCTCGCTAACTCGACTAAAAGGTACTTTGTGACTGGTTATTGACTGTTGTCTTTTTCTCTCTCTATTTCTCTCTATCTCTCTATCTCTCTTTCTATATGTATATGTATATGTATACACACACTCGTACGCACGCGACTGTTTATTATTATTATTATTGTACGTGCATATATATATATACACACACACACACACACACACATACACACATAATGCGGGATAATTATTTGTTGATTGCATCGCAAAAGAGAATTAGGTGGTTGTGTCCTGCATTTGTTTCTCAGAGTCAATTCTGTAGCACGGCATTGTGTACATATTGTTCTTTTCGAACACAAAACCGAACACAATTTTTCTCTTTCAGCATCGAACGACACGTATTAATAATAATAGTTTGTTCTCTCTGTCAATTTCTAATCCAATTAATTAATAACAAATAATTACCTCATTCACGCAAATGTGTACATATGGAAATATACCGTTTGGGAATATTTATTGTGTGTACATTTCGAGTAATTGATAATACATAAATTCACACGCGTGTGGATGGACGCGCGCGTACATACAAAGAAACAATAAAAATTACCAGAGTAGTAGGACCCCGACAAATATCCGACAATCTGTGTTGTGGATTGGTAGGTGTGTCTGTATTCATATATAGTCGTAATTGCTACAAATATTTTTGTGTAATTAGATTATCGATTAAATATTGGCGTGCTCGATCGAAACGAAAGTTTCTCCGGTTTCTCAGGTGACACGTTTGAATATTTATGTTCTTGCTTATCGCGCTTTATAAAACAGAAACTCGTCTACAACAACATTTCGCTCTTTCAACACATTCTGTCTGTACATACATAAACAAAAGAGAATTGTTATATTTATTCGAATTATTTCTCTCTATAAAAATTTTTCTGTGAAAGTCTCTCTCTCTCTCTCTCTCGCAATATACAATTTTCCATGCACTCGACGCACATGTCACTTGTTTCTCCATTCTATTTACGAGTAAACAAAATTTCCTTTTTTCTCGTGCTATTTCTTGTTACTTTGCTTCCTTTTTATTCTTTCTCGCTACACGATTCAATTTTCTCCTGTTAGATTTTCTTAAAGCAATAAAACTGTACGAGATGTGCCTGTGTATTTTTATTCCCGTATAGATATAAATTAATATATGGAAAATTTCTCATTGAAGATATTCAATCGTATCGCGTGCGTTCGATATCAAAATTAATTTGTGAAAGACACAATGTTTGTTCTGAAATAATAGGCACGTCTTGTATGTTTTACGGTATTATATCATCGTAGCATTTTGACTTTGTTGCATTGTCGTTAATTGCAAGACAAATATGTCAGAATTTATAGAATTACCAGAAATCACACGATCCTAATCCATTCTTTATTTGCAATGCCACACGATTAGTCCATGTATCCGACCCGGTGTTACACCGAGACACTTTCGACGAACTGCCCGAGAAAAAAAAAACAGATCCCGCATGTACGAACAAGTTCAATATCTGGCTGGTGAATAATTACATGTAATATTATACATGAGATCGAAACAGTCTCTTATATGATCGTGTATTATTTACACACAGATACAGAGAATTTGTTCATTTACGAGGGACTTTTTTTTTCCTCGGGTGCGCACATAAGAAACAGGATACAATATAGAAAAAAGAGAAAAGAGCGTGTGTGTGACATAACAGAAAGGGTGAAATAGGAATAAGGAGAGAAGAAGCGTGAAGGAGCCACATACGCGACAAATGTAACAATGTATATACTCTTTCATCGTTTCGTTGATTTTTTATAAATAACAACACACAGGAAAGAGTCAGAGAATATATATGTTTCTTTTAAAAACGAGACTTTTAGAAATGGTTATATTTGATGAAACGAAAAAAAAAAAAAACTCACATGTATATTAATTCAAGACCCTTTGTTTATCAGGCAAATCTTCCTTAGAGCGAGAAATCCGCCTGACGTCTGATTGCGACATGGTAAAACGCTTGCGCTCAAACGGTCGCAAGAATAATGTCATGTTAGCGCTAAATAATGACCAATATATATATGTGTATTAGATCGGTGTTGCATCTTTTCATACATTGTGTTCTTTTTATCTATATATACATATACATGTGTATCCGCCTGCAGCTATGCACGGTCGTTGGTGCGATACTCCTTTATTAATTGTGTTGAGCTCCGAGATTCGATCTCCGTACATATCAATTTTCTTTGTCTCGAAAAAGGGGTAAAACTGTTTTTTTTTTTTTTCATTTTGTTAATTTTTCACGCATATATGTTTGACGCGCGCGCGTTTTCACATCGCATATACATACATGCAGCAATGTATATGTGCGTGCGAAATATAGCGCGAAAATTGTTGTTGTGCTGTGCAAATGAAGAACGAGAAAAGAACGAAGTTCCGGTAGTGCTGAAACCCAAACTCTGAAAAGCGTGTACATACGTGTGACTCACTTTTAACGCAACTCTCGGTGCAAATTATGAATACATATAGCGACACCCTTCCCCTCTAAAATACCAGTAGCACATCCCCGCCAAATCTGCGACACGTTATACATATCCTTTTTCCAGTGTAATGATTTTGCGATTTATCGGATCAGTCTTGCTTGCAGAGCCGTTATCACGCGTGCAGCACGTGCTATGAGGCGAACGTTTCACTCGCTGGCGGCTTGGAAATGATTCAGTAGTATGATTGAGACTAGCCCGACCTAGTCAGATCTACGCTTTGTACTTTGAACGAACTTGAGTCATGTCGAGTAATCATGTTGCGAGACTTTCCTCTCACCTCGATTAGACTCCACACGCTCGTCCTGTGTACTCTTTCTCATTCCGGATAACGTGATCCCGACTGAAAACGCTGAAATAAAAGATCAACGCAAGAAAGGGGATTGCGGAGTGAAAAAGAAAAAAAAAATAAATTTTCGTGATGTTGTTCAGCCAAATGTACAAAAAAAGTCAGTGTTGCACATGTATAAAGAGTACCGATTTAACAGTGTAATAGTCTCCCGTTCACTTTATATACATATATAGTATATATATGCCCATATATATGTACATATATATATACATATATATATATATATATATACACACGGTATATTTTTATCATCTATGTTGTATGTATTTCATATCTGCATAATGGTTCTCTTTACACCCACTTTTTCGCCTGTCCGTCTGACCGATCTGCCTGTTAACGGCCGTCTTATTCGAGTTGAACTTGCTCTTACTTTCTTTAAATTTCTCTTTTGAGAGAGAATTCGAGATCAAAAGATAAAAAAAAAAAAAAATTCTCCTCTTTTTACATTCCCAATTAACTTTTGTCTAACAATCGAAAGGGTTGATCGTTTGTATCATGTTAGTAAAGGCAGATTTATAGTGGTTGGAAACGGGTGGATAAACAGACGGACGGCCTTTCTTGCTAAATGCGTAGTACGGTCTAGCAAGCTAGTTGTTGCTGTCTGTCTGTCTGTCTGTCTGTCTGGCGGTTTGTTTTATCTGTCAATCTATTCGTTTTTTTTTTTTTGTCTTTGTTTAACAATCCCCGTTTACCCACTTTTTAAGAAACTCGATGATACAGTCTTGACGCTACTCGACGATCATAAAAATGTACGAGAAGAAGAAAGATACACAAAATAACGACGAGCGGTTTTTCAAACTTATTTTCTTTTTTGCACAAATTTCTATTTTTTAGTGGTTCTTATGAATAAATAATAATAAAATTGTTAAATAATAATTTAATTAATCATTTATTTTGCAAAATTTTAACAACTTTATATATTAAATTTAAAAAATTGACTTCTATTTTTGTCAGATTTTTAAAAAAAGATCGAAAATTTTATCTAGTTGACCAAAAAGTGATATTTGCGAGTTTTTGTCATGGCTAATCATTTAAAGTCTGATCTAACAATCGATCGAGCTACGAACAAGACTGTGTCCATCCTCTTTAAGCGTGTGCACTCTCTTATTAATTTAGTTCCATTTCTCTCACACTCGATATATTATTATTTCCATACTCACTGTCACACGGCCAATGCTCTGGTTATGCTGGATGAATTAATTGACTTACTATTAATTGATTAACATTCAATTTCATGTCGAATATAATTATATAATTGAACTTTTATTGCCCTTTCTCTCCGTACGGTACTTATACCTACACTATATTGTCGTTGCGATGTTGGTGTTGTTGTTTAATATATAAATATATATCTATATATATCTATAATTCTACTCATTGTATTGATGTTGATGTTGTTGTTAATTTGATGTTTTTGATGTGTTGTTTAGTCGTTGTTATCTTGCTGTTTGTTTGATGTTTGCACTAATGTTGTTGCACTCTCTGTGTGTCCTGTGTACACACTTACATACGTACATGTATATATATCTCTCTTACGTCACGTATATTTTATTATATATATGCGTACACACGTAAAAAAAAAAAAAAAATTATCTACGCACAAAATAAATTGTGTACGCGGAGATTCAAAAAATTTTTTACGCTGTCTCCACACCCACACACACACCGTCAAGTGTGCAATTAAAATTCGCACAATGTCAATTGAATTTATCTCTCAATGCTGTTCTATTCTCGCGATCTAATTTTCACGCGTTGATTGCACGCATACGATTCCATTGTGACGTATCGATGAGACGCAGAGTCGAGAGAAATCCAATGTAACGTCTTGCATACGTAATTGCGATCTCTTCTCTTCAAGAATTTGCTCGCAATTGTTCGAAAATATTGCGGAGGCAAATATTGCGGAGGCAAATATTGCGTTATTATTACAAAAATTAATTGCCGAGCCCTTGTAATCAGCTGTTGTTTTTTTACTTATTGCATACGCAATCTATTTTGATTCACGTTGTGTGTTTACAATAAGAATGTATTTTTTTTTTATAATATATATATAATATATAAAACGTGTATTTCATCCAGTCGGTTTTCACGCTTGGAATGCATCATCTATTGCATACGTATATGTGTATGTATGTATATCGATGAATATATATATATATATATGTTTATGTATAGTGTTCCAGAACTAGCGTACCTTCTTTCGTTTATAAATTGTTCGGCGAATCGATATATTTGTGCTTTTAGTGAATTTTCAATTAAAGAAAAAATTAAACAAAACTTGATTTTTTAATTTTTTTTTTTATTGAGAGAACGTTTCTAATCATTCAATGGCTCCAAAGGTACGTACGGAAATGAAAATTTGACACGAAATAATTCCTTCATGAAAGAAACTTTCCTTCAAGGCGAAACGATTTTCGATTCATCGAAGAATCCGTAAATTGAAAGAAACTGCGACAGTTCCGGGACCATAGTTCGTATATATACCCACGGTATATAAGCATCAAGATTCTATCGGTCCTTTGTGCGTCACTAAAAAACCACCCCCCTAACAAGCTCATGGTAACAACGACTTTTCTGTCCTTATCTAACTAACTAGATATCAAATCTTTCGATATTCTGTGCGTGTATTGGTTACGAAACTGGGCTAAGCTATGGGGAGGAGAGATTCGTATTTTCACTCGCTCTCTCAATGTGTATTTACCTATAATAATGGATATATATAAATATATATGTATGTACACACATATAAAGTTATATCTACAGCTTATCTCACTTTCGTGATTTAATTTGATCTTTACGCGTACATGTATAAGCGTTCCGGTGCGATTTATTATCACACCTTAGAGATTAACATGTCTATTCGTTAAGCTAAGTTAGATATTAGTGATGTCCGATCAATGAAATTAAAGAATAAGTCTCGTTTATTGCAAAATAAAGTTAAAATAGTTAAAAACAAAGAAAGCGTGAAATAAAAAAAAGGTCTCTTAATATATTTAAAAATGGGAGGTATATTTATATGAATCGCAATTTCTTTTTAATATTACAATTATTGAAAAAAGATGTAAAATATAGAGAAGGCAAAACGTTTTGTCCAGTTTCGACAAGAAAGAAAAAAAAACATTAAATATTGAACAAGACTTTCTTTCGATCGCGAAGGTAAGGAAAGAGCCAGCGTTAAGTTAAGGGGGTGGTTCGCCGTGACTTGGAGATCGTTAATCAGACAAGATGATCATGAGGGATTGTGTTTCAGGATTGCATTCACCTCATGAAGGACTAACCGGTGGTTCCGGTCAAAGTATGTCTGGACTCGCTTATTACCAGCCAGAACATCCCGGCTCTACGGGGGTGGTAAAGTATCCGGAAAACGGACACGACACACTTTCGGATTTTGTGACGTTTGTCTGCCAGGAAGCCGAGAACACTCAGCAACTATCCCAGGTAGTTTATATGTCACTCGGATCTTTGCTCGGATCTTTGGCACGTCGCGGGGGGAGAAGAATCGTTTCTACTGGTGACGCTCGAAATCTTTGTCACTTTTAACAGACTGCCGTTTTCTTTCAGACACAGCTAACCGGACCGCGCACCGGTATACAAAAGTTTCCACAGTATTATCCAAGTTCGATGTTGCCACCGCCACCCCCTGCTCCGATGGCCAGACCGGTGGCGATAATTCGATCAACAGGCGAGCTGGCAGCGACAACCGCCAATTCTCCACCGACGTCCTCCACATCGCCGACGGATCCATCCGAGCTCGGTCCTAACCAGGAACAGATGACTGCCGCGGCGGCAGTCGGTCTCGTTGGTTCCGCCTGCCAGAATTCTGTCGAATCCGCTGGACGGAAGAGTCCCGCCAGAATACTCGTTACACCGCACACGAGCAGAGAATACACGTTCGCTCACTTTCATTCACAACCCGGACAGGTTAGCTTGTTGTCCGATTTCTTCTTCTTTTCTTTTGATTTGATTTTATTTTAGATACATATCAGAGCGAGTTATATTTATTTTTCTAGCAAATCTTCACGTATCCGACCATTAGCTCGATGTCCGGCGTAATTTCGCCGACTAATCTATCTTTGTTTTCGTCTCCTGTCTCCGTTACGAGACCGGTCGCCACTCAAAGATCAGTCTCGAATGTTCCACCACGTTGGAATACCGCACCGTTTATTAATTTGGAAGACGACTACAATATGATCGCGCCGATCATCGCTGGGACCACCAGCGAGACACCAGCTGCTATGGATGAAGGTAAATCTCGTGGAAGAAGCTAAATCTCACGTTTTTGAACAATGTTGAATTGTCGACGAGGAAAATTATCTTTTTTCTCGTACAAAATTAAAATCTCTCTCTTCTCTTCCTCAGAACGATATTTTCATCCAGTGCACACGAGTGGCGTAGTGGACAAAAATGGCAGTAATCTAATAGGAAATGAACTCGGCGTGAACACAGATCCTACGTCCCATCATCACCAACAACAACAACAACATCAGCAGCAACATCAGCAACAACAGCAGCAGCAGCAACAACAACAACACCAGCAACAACACCAACCACAGCCCCAACCACAACAACAACCACAACAGCAACCATCTTCGCAACAACAGCAGCAAGTAATGGGGGACAAATCCGGCGGACCGAAATCTCCTCCGTGACAGTGGAGTCTGAAAACGGAGAGTCTCTCGAGACTCGCGAACTCGCCGCGTTTGTCGGGATCGGTACTCAGCATCACGTGTAACAACGATTATTCGGAAGCCAAGACCGAAACCGAATTCGGGAGTGAGCGCCAGGCAGCCATGCCTATTCAATTACGTGATTTAAACTTACGGAGAATAGAATACTTAAGAGTTCGATCTTAATTAACCTATTACGAAGCAATAATATAAGAGAAACGCTTTCCGAGATATGTAGGTAATCGAGGAAGGAGCAGAAGTCCGTTTATTCATATTTATTGAAGTAAAAATTGATATTACATGAGGTTTCATATTACGACTATAGCCAAGTACATAGTTTTTCTATATAGCACGGTTATATCGCGGTAGAGAATTTATGCGACGCTCAGAATAGCCGTTAAGATAACGTCGTGCATGCCTTATCCTGCTCGAGAACAGAAAAAAAAATTGTCGACACACACGGTGCTGTACAACAAAACGGAAAACTAGGATCTAAGGTATTTAGATAAAATACAATACGTATAATTTCAAGCAAAGTTAATTAACGCGTAGTCGAACGCAATGTAATTAATACATAATGTATTAATATTACCTAGCCTGTTACCAACTACGCAAAACTGCGTTTGTATCGATCGGATACACACGATCTAGAATGTTCTAAATTTTCGTTTTCTGTCTGTTTGTCTTTTTTCTGTTTCTTCTTTTTCTCTCTCTTCCTCTCTCTCTTTCTCTCTCCCCTTATCTATTTCTCTATCTATCTATCTATCCATCTGTCTCATTATTTTTTTCACTATCTTAAAATACAAGCAAAAGTAAAATGAATTTTCTCATCACAATCCTTTCGAGGTTTGCAGTTACATAGCTGTAGCAATATTCTTCTTCCTAGTGTATTATAATACAAAAAGATTCTCGTTATTTTCGTAGTAAACTTTTCGTATATGTTAAGTTAAGAGATATATACGTAAACGTGTTTTCTTTTTAATATAAATGCAAATTCGTAATATCTTGTACAAATAATTCTTAGCCAATATGTAACCGACGGAGCAATAACGATACGAACAAGCGGACAGTTACTTCAAGCACATAAAAAAAAGTGATAAAAATAATTCTCTCCTCATCGTCCTACGAAAAGTTTTTCGGAAGATCCGCATTCTTATTGCAACCGGTGTTTTTTACATCTTACATTGACGTTCGTTTCTTTGCTGAGAATAAATTATTCTTTCGTACTTATTCCAAGTCACGTTGGATTTTTGAAGTATACGAGTTTGTAAAATGTATTTGTATTATATATATATATATATATAGAATCGTGAATTTATATAGATTTATGTAGCGCATTGAACCTGATTTACGATTTTATTCGTATATAAAATTTCAATTTTGGATCGAACAAGAGCGCGTGTAAAATTTGTTATCTTATGTATTGCAGAGAGATATGTAAATATACAAATATATAATTTGTTAGATGTGTACATGGCTTGGCGACACGTGTATTAGATCATATATTGAATAATTGTTACATGTATGTAATTTTTTGTGCCAATGAAACAGCATATGTGTGCGCCATTCTTTTTTAGCAATGTTATTAATGAATTGCAAAACTTTCTGATTCAAAATAACGCGCGAGGAAAAATCTGTTTCAAAAAGCGAACTACTTTATTTCAAAGATAGAGATCTGTCAAATGCAGATTTGCATAATTGCGAACAAAAGAGATACGCGATAATAAAACGTAGCGTCATTGCGTAACGCTCAGGTTAACGTTAATATTAGGAACAAAAAAACTAGTGAGAACTAGTCATTCGAGGCTGCTAATTAGAGACGGATATAATTAGAGATGGATAACTAATACGGTTTATCGGATAAAATATAAGCGCTTAATTATTTAAATATATTATTGAGATGTTATATATATTATATTATAAAGGTAATGATACATATAAATATAGGAAGTAGTCTTGCGTGAATAAACATCCAAGTATGATTACGCTACGAACAAAGTCCGAACTTTGTACAAAGTTTTTCACCAACAATATATTTAAATTATTGCTACAAGGAATTACACTGCTACTTAGAACTTATTTAAAACACATAATCGCGGTTGAAATTATATATATATATATAAATTTATAATTTCTTTTATTTATCTCATTTGCTCACAAGCAAAACACTTCTTATAAATTCGGAAAAGATTAAAAAAAAGAGTGTCTTTTAATTTCTATAAAATTTCTCTCCTTTTATGTGTGCGAATACAATGCTGAGAGATATTTTTAGACGCTTCGTTATCATCCGTAACCGCAGGAATGTAGATAGTGAGAATATTTGATTTACACAAAGAGAATTTAAGAAAATGTATTATCTACGTAACAAAAAAATAGTCATTTGTTTCTTGACTTCCTTTGTCTTTTGAACGTTTAAAATTCGGCAAATATATTTATTGGCGGTGGGGAGAGACAAATCAAGTTTTAAACAATTATTTTTCAAACAAAAAATTTTTGCGTTTGAAAATATCAGCAAAATATTTAATTAAGTCAAAAGTCTCTTAACACTTATATCTTATTATCTTCAAATTGATTTTGTTATACTTGACGTACAGCATTATGTTTTATTTCCAAAAGCACATGGACATTGTGTCGCGTAAGATAGACTTATATAAACACGAAACACTTGTTAATGCAGTTACAATAAATAACTTCATCTCTCTATCCTCTGTGTGTCAATCACTAGTTAATCTTATTTATTACAGATCGCTACTGTTAAGAGAAATCTCTAAAGTGATAACTAAAACTATTTGCTTTCAAGATCATTTGTCCGTCAGAATAAAAAAGACATTACTTACACATAGAAGTCGGTTCGATGATAATGATAGTAGATATATGCAAAACCACAAATAATAGTAAAAACTAAACCTAAACATATTCTTAAGAGAGAGAGAAATGTTTTGCAGATTATGTTATACATGAGAAATAAAATTATAATTTAAATTGAATTATAATCATTTTAATTATTATGGGTGCTTTTTAATTTACTTTTATTTATATGTTAGTAATATATATTATTGAAATTATTGCAATTGTTTTAATTATTACACATACTACCGCAGCTGCTACTGATATTAATAATATTCCTACTACTATTACTACTACTACAACTACTACACTACTACTACTACTATTACTACTACTACTACTACTACTACTACTACTACTACTACTACTACTACTACTACTACTACTACTACTACTANTACTACTACTACTATTACTACTACTACTACTACTACTACTACTACTACTACTACTACTACTACTACTACTACTACTACTACTACTATTACTACTACTACTATTATTATTATTACTACTATTATTACATTTCCTATTTCTACACAACTACTAATATTAATACTACACTACTACTATCGCTCCGCTACGATTTATATTAACATCACTATCACTACTACTATTAAGATTATGGCTACTTCTACTATATTGCTACCACTACCACTACTACAACTACTACTATTTTTACCGCTATTGCTACTACAACTATTACTACGGCGACTATTATTAATACTATTATACCACTATCACAAATACCGCTACACTAATATTACTATATTATTATTATTACTACTACTATTATTAATACTACTCTTATTACTGCTACGTTGCTATAATTAAACATTGATTATTAGTTAATATTTATTTAAATATTATCACTATAAGTAGTACTGTGCTATATATCTTTGCGCTATTATCGGAATCTACCACTGTTATTAACACTATTGCCACTATTATTACTAGTATTATTACCGTTTACAGTTACTATTATAATACTATACTATTATTACTACTGCTACTACAATTACTACTACAACTACTACTATTGTTATTATTATCGCACATCGTCATCGCCAACTATAGCAATTGCATTAATGCATCTATCACATATTATTATTATTAATATTACTACTGTTATTCTGTTACAACTATTACAATTGCTAATATTATTGCAATTAGTGGTGTTATTTCTATTGCAGCTATATTGTTAATAATGTAAGTATTATTTCTGTTATCGTATGTATCATCACTATTACCACCGCCTTTAATGTATTGTCGTAACTATTAATGTCATAATTTCCTTATCTTATGCTACTATTTTTTGTTATCCAATTCTTTCCAACGTCACACATTTTTTCATAAGCATAGAATATTGTTATTTATGTTAAGATATTTTTTGAGGCACATTAATTAGCAAATTAGAAATAATAGATATATTAAAAGCAAATTCAACTTACTTGAAATCAAAACAAATGTGGATGTGACGTTTCGACATTTATAGCACGTTATGTGCGATTATATACAAAGATAGTAGCATTGATAATCTCTCTTATATAACATCTACTGCACATTGGTTTGAAAACTACAATGAAATTTTTCTGTTTTAAAATTACTCTGTACATAACATAATGAGAAAATTTCTAAGTGAATACGTGACATATATTTCTGGACATTGCGCACAATTATATATATACGTATAATAGGGTGGTTCGGGATATATGTACATTGCGACAGCTTCCAAAATACGAGAAAAGATATGTCTGTGTAATGTTTCTTACATTGAACAGAAGGTAATTTTAAATTCAATTAATTATAAAACATACTGTTAATTTTATAAAAGAAGTTCGTAATTTTCTATAGACAAATATAAAATAATCTTCTTTTTACAGTCATTTTACACACTTTGTGCATACATTTTAATAACAAAATCACAATTTATAACTTGATATAAATTTATACATATATAAATAAATATATATATATATATCGGGATTGAAAAGTAAATCAAATATTGTACATTGCTAGTTTCACTCTTGTGTTTTTGCAACAATAATTCATCGTATTGTTATATTGTACAAATAATTGCAATTATAAGATTATTACTTTTTATATTATGTGAGAGATTTATCTATATTTTAATCCTAGTAATTTAATTTTAAGCAGATCTTTTTTTTAAAAAAAAAAGCATTGTGATACGCGACGTGATACCAATGCCACAATGTAGTGGTATACCGTTTCCAAAGCACGAAAAAAGAATAGGATAGTGTGCCAACTGTTACAAGTACTCTAAGCTTAGATGTTAGACACGCGCCAGATACGGTCGTGTGAAAGAGAGTACACGAGAGAGATGCATGCATAAAAAAAATCCGTTGATGATAAAAACTGGATCTATAATGTGATATATACAACAATTGTACGAGTAGTTAAATATATAAGTTAATTAATGACGCAACAAATACACAAAATGTAACTAATGTGCTTGGAAGAAAGCAATGTCTTTTGAGAAAGAATACATAAAAATAGATATTACAATGTACTTAAACAACACACACGCACACACACATAAGGAGATGTAACTTAAATTTTCCATAATTTTTGTCAGGCCTTTTTATTGGCGTTGTTTTAAAAGGAGAGATCAGTTATTTACTTTTTTATATTCATTGTTTGTGCGTAAAAAATATTATTTACGGCTTACAACAGATTTAGGAACGATTAAAGTATTTTGTAAAGCATATACAAAAATGCCTTAAATAACCGAACGTGCATTAAAAATTGTTTATACTTCGGACGCATTCTAGTGGATAATTCCGGATCTAAAACGTGATAAATGACGAACGATTTTATTCGATCATCAGCAGATCATCTATTCGCACAAAACGTTTGCTTTTTTAATGAAAAAGAATAAAAAAGAAAAAAAAATACGCGAATTTCTGTACTGTTTTATATTATTTATATACATACTTGTATTTTTTTGTAAAGAAAAAGAAACGCAGTCTCCTCCTCCAACGTGCCTGTGTATACAACACGTTTATCTCGTGTACGATAAATTTATACTCTATAAAATACGACGCAAATTTTTTGATTTTGTCAAATTAAGATGTAAACGCTAGAGATTTTGTGGAAATGATAATATCGATATAGATAACAAGGATAAATGCATAGAAAAATAGCTGGTGTCTCAGTAAACCCGAACAACTGTACTAAAATTTAAGTCAGGTGCGAATGTGTGTGCGTTATCCCGAGCCACTCGTTCATTGCAAGAAAGAATGCAAATTACCTTGAGATTTAGAACGAACCGTTTTCTGCATAAAACGTGAATCGTGAAACATACTTGGAAAAAATGTAAACTAAAGAACAGAGAAGCGACAATAGAAATACAGAGATTTAAAGATTTGAATATTTTCAATAAAAAAAAAAAAAAAAAACGACTGCTGCTTTAAAAAATTATAAATACTGAAACAAGTTCCAAAAAGAAAAACAGAATAAATTCTTTGTTCGTTATCATACTCGAGAGAATAAAATACTTGATAAATAGTCATTATAATTAATTAAGTAGTTTAATTATCTACTTATTGATCACATGCATACATCGAAAACAAAAAATATAATAATATAATTAAACATTTAAGAGATGCATATTTGTAGGAGATTAAAGAAATACAAAGCTAATACGAGACGAGAAAAGAAAAGATACGCTTTGTGTATCGAAGTCGAATAATAACAAAATAAAATTTAAAATTGTTTCCAAAGAGCTATTGGCATTTTCTCTAACATAAGCTCTGTTCAACACTGACTTATTTACTAATAATTAGGATAATGGAACAAACAAAAATATAAAGGTGGTTATTCTAAGACGCGTTTGCTTAGACCACACGAGACTACATGGCCATTGCAGGGTAAATAACCCTGTAAAAGTATGAAATTTATAAATTATTCAAGTTGATTTAAAAAAGACAAATTCAAAACTATATAAAAGAAGTAAAAACAATAAGAATATAAGAGACTATAATGATAAGGGCTGTATGTTTACTTATCATTATTAAATAGCATCGTCGAAACAATGTATTTATGGAACTGCAAGGTAGAGAGGAATATATGTAGAACAATTTGAAAAAAGCATAGGTACATCGAGAGAAATAAAAAACGTAGGATAAAACAAAATCTCAACACCAAGCGTCTCGATAACGTGCTTGTTTCATTTTGTTGAGTTTGCTGATAATAGAGAATTTTCTATGCAAAATATAATGTGTATTGTTAAGACAAGGTGCGAAGTTAAAAGTAAAAATACATATATATATATATATATAAGAACATAAATTATAAGATTTATAATTTAGATATTTACAATACAAAATATCTGTACAAATGTCGGAAGGAGTGAATACCAAAATGTTCTTGTGTGAAGTTTACAAATAACCGAAAGCCCAAGAGAAAGAACGAAGAAGCAATGAAATCATAAACTTCACGCACTTAATGTATATGTGTGTGTTCACTCGTACTTTGCTCGTTAACCACGCGCGACATGGCGTATAACCGAGAAAAAGTAGTATTTTTAATTTTATTTATTTCTAGAAAAAGACACAAAGTGCTTCGTGTAATCTCGAATACACACACACACACACGTATATATTTACACACGTGTTAGTTGAAAGAGAGATTATAGAGAAAAATAGTTTACAAAATTCATCGAAGTTCATTTAGCACTTTTATCTTTCATTTAAATCGTACGGAGAAAACTGTGTAACATAAAAGTCGCTCTTGCACAGAAAATATTTTTATTTTTAAAAACTATGACATATATAAGACGGCAATAAAACCATTATGTGATTATTAATATCGCGTTTATTGATTCAAATATTGTTATCTCTTCACGTGTTTGTTTTTCCATTACACGTTAAATTTTTATTGACTGCTGTTGAACTTTTCTATCTTTATTTGATATTTCCATATTCGTATAATAGCTACAACCGTAACGTGATCATTACATGTGTAAAGACGTTCACTATATCTTAATTTTTTTTTTTTTTGGAGCAATCGTTTCTTCACTAAAGATATATTTACGAAAAGAATTGTTGTTCTTTTTTTACGAACGATGTTCACGTTATATATCAGGGATTAGAATAATACGCGTATAATTAGCATAATACGCTTTTTTACATAGGAGAAAAAGAGCGATAAAAAAAAAAAAAAAAAAAAAAAAAAAAAAAAAAATACATATTGCGTGCGTTGAAGAAATTGCG